AGAGGACAGCGTCATAGTGGATGAGCCAGAGGACCTGCCCACGGACGACATCAGCCGCCGGGACCGCAAGATTCTAACCCACAACGGCAAACTCTTGACTCTGGAGGACCTGGAGGATTACGTGCCTCAAGAAGGCGAGACCTACAGGTGCGAGGATCAGAAGGCCGCGGCGGAGAAGCCATGCGAGATCTCGGTGCTGCAGACGGAGATCAACGAGCCCACCATCGGCAGGCCRGTGCTGCTGAGCCTGCTGAGGCCCATGGCAGCCGAGCCCCGGCCGAGGTTCTTCAGCCGCTACGAGGAGCGCGTTCCCGGCGGCGTGTTCGTGTCGGCCTCCCGTGTCACTCCCGTGCAGCCCGTGGGCCCCTCCAACATCTCCTTCCACGTGGGCGATTCCCGTGGGGCTTCTCCCGGCCCTTCCTTCACGGTGAAACCCTCCTTCTGCACCGAGGTCCAGCGCTCGGCRGACAACGGGCAGTCGAGCTTTAAAACGGAAGTTTCCACCAGAACTCTGAGCTATGGGACTGTGGGYGAGCCTGTCACCTTGCACATCAGCACAGAAGACCTCTCCCAGAGCTGAGTGGATGCAAGCATGATTTTTAACAAAGAAAACAGCTTTTCAAAAATTAAAAAAATAAAATCAGAATGGTTGTAGGCGAGGGGAGTCAGTGGCGAGGATTATGAGGTGACAAGTACAGGGAGTACCTTATAGGGAAGTGTATTTAAATATGATATATCAAGCTTTTCCAGTCTTAAAGGGAACAGTCTGTCAGAACAGTTTATAACTTTCAAAGCTTTGATCTAGGTGAACATGTATCATTCCATAGTGGAGCAGTGATGGGAGGTTTAGGAAAAGCCTGATTCTTCTACCTATGACAGAAATAAAGACAAAAAAATGCATTTTTATCTGTGAGCTTAATAATTATTTCATGTGCCAGTTTATGGTGTGGCAAGGAGRTGAAAGTATCCAAGCTTTTCAGCATCCTTCAGCAGCCCAGGACAGGAGGTGCCTCCTGTCACCGTGTCGGCACAAAGATTGTGAAGCTTCACAATGCTTTGACTCTGCTCTGCACTTGTGACACCAATCAGCTCTGCTGAAATRTCTTCATAAACCTTTCAATAAACATAATCTGGCTATGTTATTGTAACCTTCTGCCGTATAATGAGATATACAATAAATATTACATATACCAGGGATGCAAAGGGCTGTTCAGGCCTTTTGGTTGAAATCCCAGTTTGACTCTAGTCAGTGGTGAGAGTCCCACTGCTGCGAGGAAGCAAGGGTTTTGTTGTTCTCTTCTGCTTTATGTGAAAAAGACAATCTTTTCTAAATGACTGATAGTTTCAAATCCACTTCCTAGTTGTCTGATAATGTAGGTTTCATTATTCTGCATTCTGGTGTGGTGGATTTATAACCATACATTTGAAATATAATTTACCTAATGTGCACCAAATTATTAAAGTGCTGCACAAAACGATTTCTGCATCTGCAATCCAACAYTAACACATACAAAGAACCACAAATGTGGTCTTTGCCACTAAATAGGACTGAATGAGATATTGTTCTCCTGAACGTGCCAGTGGTGAAACATTCCTGCTAACAGATTGATCCATGATGTCCCTTATATGTGATAAGAGGAATTTACCACTGAGCTACAGTAAAGTAGCAGGAGCACAAAAACAGATTAAAAAAATAAAGATGAAACAGAGCTTTACCATAAATACTTGGTTGAAACATAGATCTGCTCCAAATGCATCGGGCTGCCAGTTGCAATTGCATCATATTACTGTAAGCAGGAGGGACTGGCTGTGGCGTTCCTCTGGAGCCGTGTGAGGGGGAGGCTCRGGTGCACTGAGCACAGCCCATCCCTGTTGGCTTCACCAGAAATGAATGCTGCCCAGCCCTTCAACAAGCTGCTCTGAAAAGAGGTGAGCTCACAGGCCCAAATCTTGGTGCCAGCTGGACTCAGATGGGGTTTGCCATTGATGTCAGCAGGAGCCAGCAGTGGCCCTCTCCGGTGACAGAGATGTGGGGTGAAAAGTCCCCACACCTTGTCCCAGCTGAGCTCTGTAGAAATCTTGCAGCAGAAACTGTTTTCATTTGTGGTTTAGGGAAACCAGAARTGCTCAGGCACAGCTGAATTTCTAAGCAGCATGAAGAGAGAAGTGCAGTGAGTTTCTGCCTTGGGAATGAACAGATGATGTTGACTCAGTGTTTCCCAGCCAGATGATATTGAGGAGCTTGTCCTGGAGGCTTGGGGCAATATTCTTGCCAACAGGGACTGAATTCATGGAAGGTGCTTGTAGAAAAGTTTTTTTTTTTTTTTCCCTTCTGCAGCTGCACCTTGTTCTGATTAAAATGAACAAATTGATTCTCAGCCTTTCACTTTCAACATCCTCTCAGGATGTCGTGTGCACTACCTTCATGATATAGGATGCTTTTCCAGTGRTGAAGGAAATCAAGCTTCCTTTATGGTACTATCCCATTTTTTATAACATCTCCTTGGTTTATACTGTTTGTTTTATAATGAAGCAATACGATGGATATATATATTAGTGCTTTTTTCCTATATTGCACTGTACAATGAAAAGTAACAGACACACAATGGGGAAATGCTTTCAATGCTAAAAAATATTTCTTTTATTTTGAGTTTGATTCTGATCTCAGTTATTCCAGTATCAATCTAGAATAATTCCACAAAAGGAAGTGGATTTGATTCAGATTTGCAAAGATACTGCTGAGATAAGAATTTGCCCTGTGATAGTCTTCAAAAAATGCAATATTCATACAAGTGATAATGAGGTTGTGTAAAGGAATGCAGAGGTTTCCTCATGCTGTGGTTGACACTCAGGTTTTGCTAAAGAAGCTCTAAGGCTGCACTTCAGATGGTTGTAGAAGAAATAATCATACTTTGATTCATTAGCTCAAAGCAATTAACATCTGTTTACATTTTCTTCTGAAATTCAAGCAAAAGAGAATCAAATGATGGAAATTTTTAAAATCCTATGCAGGGCTCTGTTCAAAAAGTGAAAGGTTTATGAAAAATTCATTACATATACTTTCAAAATATTTTCCTAGAGGTTAAAAATTATGCTTGTAAGTGATTAAACTGTGTAGATAACTAATGAGATGTGTGGGAATTTACTTCCTGTAGATGAAAAGATTCAGCTGTATGAAAGGTTTTAATACAATGAATGTTTTACTGAAATTCCTGGAGGTAAATGGGTATTAATAAAGTGGAAACTTCCGTTTGCTTGAGATACAAAAAGAAAAAAAAATACACACAAAAAAAAGTCAAATGAAGATACGCTGTTAGATGCTGAGTTTATATCAATAAATGTCTTGCATCAGCTGCCACTGAACTCATTGGGTTTCTGTGTTCTTTGTTACAGCACTTGATATTCCATCAGCTCATCCTCTTCTCCTGCTGGCTTCAGCAGGARCTGGGTTGCAATCCAAGAATATTAATGCAGTTGGGCTCTGTTTCCTTTTTCATGGATGGTTCCAGGAATGTTGAAGTGAAAGAATCTGTTTTTAGGGATATTTCCAGCTCAGGAATCTTGAATGATTCACTTCCTCTTGGGTCCTTCTCTGAGACTCAACTGGAGCTTCAAAATACATGTCAGTCTTGAATTCCTGGGGATAGGCTGGAGGAGACGTGGGGTGGAAAGGTTCAAGGTCGAGGTTTTAGAGCTGGGAAAGAGGTTCTTCATCACTGGGTGCCATCAGTGTGGTGTTTGTTAGTTCTRTGTGCCTTGGTGGATATTGAAATCCCTCAGCCTGAGTCAGTGTCCTAAATAAGGAAGAAAGTGGTGCATCATCCATAAACAGGGAGGAAGGTGGTGATGTTAGAGTATGGGGGAGACCTGTGGTTATAAATAACATCCATATCTATATCTATCCATCTGTGAATATATTTCCTCATCATATGACATTAAACAAAGCACAGCTATTTGTTTCAAACGCTCATGTTTGGTTTTTGTTTTTTTTTTTTCTCAAAACACATCATGGTTTGAGTTTTCTCTCTTTTTTTGGCAAGCAATAACATGATGAACATTATCAATTGTCTTAATCTCACCTGCATTTTCTCTGTGTTCATGATCACCTGGGGGCTTCCCTAGATTCCATCCATCCCTTCATTGTGCCTCCTCAGGATCTGTGCATGGTTTATCTGGGAGGAGATCAGGTGAGATGATCTCCTGCAGATCCTATCTCAACCTTCCACATCCAGACCCAGCAGAAATATTCAGATGTTGTGAAGCAGGGCAAATACATCACCCTGGAGCAAGGAGTAGCTTTTTTGCCAGCCTTTCATGAAGCAGAGCAGCCTTCCCTTCTTTCCCCTGTCATTCTCCAGAGTCACTGTTGGGGCTGATTCCTGCTCACTCCTTTTCCTCCCCTGTAAAATGTCTTCCTTGCAGGCAAGATCTGCATCAGTGCAATGGGTTCATTTCATTGGTCTTATCCAGGGATTGGTTCTTCTGTCCCCAGAGGGTGCTGGCACTGCCCAGGCTCCCCRGGGAATGGTCCCAGCCCYGAGGCTKCCAGARYTCCAGGAGCATTTGGTGCTCTCAGGGATGCACAGGGTGGGATTGTTGGGGGTCTAGGCAGGGACAGGAGCTGCACTGGATGTTCCCTGTGGATCCCTTTCCACTCAGGATATTCTGTGATTCTATGATAATTAAAGGTATTTTTAACAGATCAGCYAATGTCAGTTCATCTGGGAGTTGGATCCTTTGTTCCACTGTCTGGGAACAGGCCAGGGGTGCACACAGTGTGGCAGTGTCCCCAGCCTGTCCCCTAATCTTTCCAAAGCACTTTGTGCCAACCTTACTTTAACTCTTAGCTACTCTCCCTCTTGCTGGAGTAAGCATTTCTGCCCCAACTCCCTGCTCCAGGAGGGGAAAATGATATGGTTAAAAGTATTTCCATGGGTTGGATGGTGCTCCTGTTTTCTTTTTTGCCTCGAAGAGAGAAAAGTTGTTGTTCTTGTCTGTAGGAATGACTTCCCCCAGGTTGGGGACSGGGACTTCTGTGCAGGCCTCGCTGCAGCGCGCTGATCAGGAGATCAGGACAGCTCTGAGGAAGCTCATGGACTCGGCGTCACTGCTGGTGACTCTTCCCCCGGGCATGCGAGCAGATGGTGGCCTTGGCCCTGCTGGGTCTGTCCCTTCAGAGCACTCAGGGACAGCAGCCGGGCCCTCTGCGCTCGTTCATGAAGCCAGTACCCAAACCCAGACCGCTGCAGGCCATGGTAGGTTTGGCACCAARGTGGGAAATGTTCCCTGGGAGTCGMGACACAGAAAAATATTKAACATGCTARWAATKATATTTTTAACCYCATTTTTCTGCTTCACTGTGTTTTGAGCAGATGAAGATTGAGAGGGGGCATTCAGAACCAGAGAAACATGGGATGGGAGCTGGGTACGGGTTAGGTGGGATCTAAGTTTGGGGCAGATCTTTCTGGAAACAGGAGGTGTTTCAAAACCATGTCTGAAGCAGACTTTGCTTCATCTCCTGAACCAAATAAAGGGATAGGGGATTTTTTCCACCTTTGGGCTTCTGTCCCTGGTCTTGCTTCAAGTATTTTTGGGGGAGAAGGTGCAGTGATATCTCTCCTTTACATTTGGAGAAGTCATTTGGGTTTTGATTTAGTGGGGTGGGTAAGGGTGGTTGCTTTTATTTTATTATTTGCCATAAGCAATCTGGCAATGTCTTTAGCATACTGTGTTGACTGTCAGAGGTTTTCCAGGGTGCTGGGTGAAGTTCACCTTCATTTCCCTGACCCCAGAGCCTGTRCAGACTCCTTGCAGCTCCTGTGTGACTAAACCCAACGATGTGTGTGGCTGTGTCTTSCCAGGAGAGCAACTCCTTCATTTTTCTGTTGTTTTTAAAAACTCACGGATAAGCAACAACCCTTCCACTCTCCTTCTGCCATAACAACTTGTCTAAGCTGTCTCTGTGTCACAATAACTGTTCTCGCCCAGTGTCAGCTTAAATTACAATCTCGAGGAGCCTTCAGYCCTCAAACTCCGGATAATTCTTTCAAAAATAACTATTCTTGCTTAAAACTTAACAAGGAGAAAAGATGTTTGTGGAATCAGACCCAAAATAACAGCATACAAAAATGACAGGGGTTTAAAACCTTTTGTCCTTTCTAGAAGGAAATAATCTTTGAAAATAATCCTCTGGTGAAGTGGGATGACTCAAAAATCCTAAGTAAAATGTCAGCTGGCAGATTATCTCCTCAGTGATAGCAACAGAGGAAACACAAAAGTGAATGGKATGGCCTRGCAGGTCTTTCATTTGAGCAAAACYAAACCTGTCATGGGAATTATTTTAATCAGATGAAGGCTTGACAYCTCTCCCTATGATCACATGCTTTAAATAAAAAGGAGGCAAATATTTCAATAGTGCTGGTGATAAGAAAGCACAGTCCCACAATCTGAGATCTCTGATCCAGTAATGCCTTGAATAACCATGTTTTCCATCCCAAAGGAGCTGTTCTGTGTGATTTGTAGAAAAAGCTGCTGTTTTCCAAAAGCAGCAAGCACCAAACACCCCTAGGGTGCTCCCCAAAATGTTCCTACCTGCTGGGTAGAAGAGTCCTCTGGAGTTAACCTTTTCTCCTGAAATGAAAAAGGAGATCATGCACTTTATCCTACGGTGTGATTCCAATGGTCAGTATCAAAAAGACAATCACATTCTGGAATGTGAGATCAAACCAGGTTTATATTATTATATTTATATTTATATATATTTGTATCTGATAAAATAGTTAATAATCAAAAAAGAAAAAWTACTGAAACAGCCATCAAGCTGCACCTTCTTTTGGTTTCCTCAGGCCCCAGGGACCAAATCTTTTTCCAGTGTAACTTAGAGCTGTACAAGGATATTTTCCAGTGGACGTGCAGGAATGCTGATGCTAAAACAACACCAGGTCCTCTGTAAGAGTCGCTATTACCTCCATACCAGTCATATTCCCAGCCAGATCCTGCTTTGACCACCAGTTTATATCGATGGGAGCTCACTCATATCCCTGCTGCTGCCTGTGATCACAGCAGTGAGTCAGGAACTGTTCCGATGCAAAGTTTAATGGAAGAATTTACATGTACAAAGCTGGCATCTTGTTTGCCTGGAATACATTTCAGTGGTGGGTTAATGGTTGGACTTGTTCTTAAAAGTCTTTTTCAACCTGAACAATTCTTCCATGATTTCCTCAGTGCCGTAGCTGGAACTCAAACACAGTTAAATTATTTTCTGTAAAGGCTGTGTGAACCCACATTACCCTTCCAGCTGACCTGTTTTTCCCTGTCCCACCCAACTGCCCTCCCCACCTTTGCCTGTGTGTGTTTCCTTACAGAAAGTCAGTCCAGCTCTGTCAGCCAAGTGCCACCATTGTCGTRTTGTCCAACCCCTTTGCTTCCTGTGCTTTTGCAAAAGTGCCAGATTCTCCTCTCACCTCCAGTGCCTGCACCCAGCTGGGGCCAGGTGGACTCKGTTCTGGCACAAGGCACACTTGGGATGGCTCCAAGGTTGGCTCTGGGTTTTGGGTGTGCTCTCACAGGTGATGTGTCTAACTTGCCCAATTTCTGCTGCCAGCCAAAGCACAAAAGCAGTTTCCAGCTGAAGAGCCAGCRGTGCCAAAGCCCAGCCCTGCTCCTTCCCAGGAACAGGCAGCAGCTGGAGGTGCAAGCACTCAGGAACGCACTGTTCCCATCGACAGGTAAACACCCACCTCCATATCTCCATATAAAACATGTGGATTTCTGAATGTGACAGATTTTTCTACAAGAAAAACAAGTCCCCTGTGGTAGACCTGAACAGATTCTTGWAGGTTTGTTATTATTTTCAGAGTCCTGGTGGCAATGCTTTGTCAAAAAAAGATTGGAGAGAAATTAATCCCCCCCCCCCCCCAAACCAAAATTCTTCTTGTATTAATTATAAGCAAATAACTGCTGATTAGACAGATGAATGGCAAGGTGTAATCCTTGTATGTGACTGTGACACGATCTTTTCTCTTGGGTTTCATGAAAGACCATCACCAGAGGCAGGGGCAGGAGGCTGGTACAGGAGAGAAGGAGATGTGGTTTGGGATGTACGCAGTGAAGTTTATATTGAGACCACGGAAAGAACCCGTGTGTATAAGACTGAGGAGAAGACTCCAACAAGTAAGARTGACCTCTGCTTCCCTCTCCCACATCCTGTGATTGTCATTGTCTTCTCATTTGGGAACAACTCCTGACTGGTTGATTTAAATATTCCAAATTTTTGAGTGGTAACTGTTTATTAAACAAAAAGTAATAAATAAGTGTGAAGATAAGAAGCCTAAAAGTAATGCCAGTATAAAAAAAAAAACCCCAATATATTGCTGTTGTACCTCTTGATTTAACTGTAAACCACTGTTACATCCTGAATGCCCATCCTGTAAATCCCATCTGTGTAACTCCAGCTGTGTCAGTACTCTGGCAATGAAGTWGCAGTGCTGTGCCTGCAGCAAACCCTCGTGTCTCACCAGGTCCTCCCTACATGCAAGTGACAATAGAGGATGTGCAGGTGAACTCTGGGGAATGTGCCAAATTCCAGGCAGTCATCGARGGAACCCCTCAGCCCACAGTTCTGTGGTTTAAGGTAAGCACAGGATTTTCTCTGGCTGAGAGTAAGGATCATGTGGTGCACTATTCCACAGGGAATTCTTTCTGCTCTTTCCTCCCACACCTCTCACACAGACTTTGGATCATATCTGTAGTTTGTTGACCCAGCAGTCCTCACTGAGCCACCATCCATGTATCCCACTCTGTGCTGTCACCATGGATCCTTTTGCAGAGAGGGCAAAAAGGGTGGTTTTAGGCACCAAGAGGAGCAGAAGGGAAASTGTTGCTACCTGAGTGCCACTGAGATGTGTGCAGCAGTTTGGGGGCCAGGCTGGGATTGAGGGGTTCATTCCCATTGTCAGTGTGACTTCAGGCTTTGTATCTTTCCTGCCACTACTTGRTAAAGTCACTGTGATTAAGGACAATGAATATCCCAGAGAAAGGAGAGAAATAATTTATTATTCCTCAGAATATTGCTGTCACATCTTGCTAGAGCCTCCCTTCCAGGCTGAAGAGCCCCAGTCTGCTCTGTCAGTCTTCACCTGGAAGCTCTTAGAGAGGACACTGATGCAACAGTACYACACCATGGGCAAACCAAGGTTTTATCAAATGATGCTTTGCATCTTATCCTTCATTTCTTCCCAAATAATTTCTAATATCTGGCACTTTTTAGCTCCACCAGGCACTGAACTGGTGCTGCTGTGGAGTGATTTATTCCAAAATAAAGTTTTGCTATATTTTAATAAAGAACAGTTCAGAAACAGACTGAATTTGGGAAAGTAGGATTGCATCATTTCAAATCTATGGTTTTATGTACATATATGTCTATATTGTAGTATATATTTTTACCTTGCACTTTACTGTCGAAGGGACCTTTTGCAAATGACAATCTGCTCTGTGGCACAAACACTCCATCCTGTCCCTTTCTTTGTAGCCTTTATGAATATACAGAATCAYAGAATCATTAGGGGTGGAAAACACCTCCAGGATCACSGAGTCCAACCTCTGACAGAACACCACCCTGTCAGCCAGACACACATCCAGTASTTTCTTGAACATTTCCAGGGATGGTGACTCCACCACTTCCCTGGGCAGCATTTTGTCTGTGAGGTTTGCTAACATAAACAGTCTGTGTTGTAGCTCTGTTCCTGTATCTTATTCCTTGAAGAGAGGAAACATCTGTTTCCACATTGGCTTTTCCGGTGCCAAAATCTCATTTCCTTCTCTCAGGGCACCTCACTGCTGACAGACAGCAACAGGATCCATCAGGGGAAGGAAGGAACAACCTATTTCTTAGTCATAGACAACGCTGCCTTGGAAGATGGAGGTGTTTATACCTGCGTTGCCAAAAATGCAGGAGGGGAGGTTCTATGCAAAGCAGAGCTCGTTGTACGTGAAGGTAATGCCATCCTCTCGCTGGGAAGGTAATACCATTCTCTCACTGGGAGGGCAATGCCACCCTCTCAGCTGGGACAGCAATGCCATCCTCTCACTGGGACAGCAGTGCCACCCTCTCAGCTGCAGGAGTTGCTTCCACTGCCATGACAACCTGTAATTTATTGCAGTGGTGTTCTGGTGCCTGTATGGAATCTGTTTTGTGTTCCAGTGTAGTATTTATATGTGGCCAGTATGGCAGGATCCAGGACAAGAGCAAATCACAGGAATCCCACAATGGTTTGGGTTAGAAGAAAYCCCAATGCTCATCTCATTCCACCCTCTGCCATGGGCAGGGACACCTTCCACTGTCCCAGGCTGCTCCAAGCCCTGCCCAGCCTGGCCTTGGACACTCCCAGGGATCCAGGGGCAGCCACAGCTTCTCTGGGAAACCCCAAAGCTCGTATTGACAGGTTCTGTCATCAAATAATCCCACTTAATCTTCTAAAAAGTTTAGAAGATCCCTCTAATTTTTCCTGCCTTAATTGTTCTGTGATAACTTTGGTCTCTATTAGCAGTGTGTTGTTGTCTGAATACTTACCCTGATGTTTTCCTTCATTTCCAAAGCTAAAAAAGACCAAGAAGGAAAGAAAGTGGCCACCAGGAGAAAGCTGCACTCCCATTATGAGGTTAAGCAGGAAATTGGAAGGTAAATGAATTTTCCAACTCTACAGCATCACTGCCAGGGAATATCTAATTGTCTATCTGGGCAGCTGAGGCAGAGGTGGGTCCTGAAAAGCCTGAAAAGGTGGAAGCACAGGCAGAAGTAGGAGGGCAGCCCATTGCAGGTGTGCTGGTAATGGTTTCCTCAGGTTTCTCATAGAGGATGGCACAGTCCAGGCAGCTCCAAACARAAAAAAATACCATCCAGAGGTCACAGGGTTGGTCCTGGGTGTGGTTTCTTGGCAAAGGGAGCATCCCAATGCCATCCCATCGGGTCTGTCCAAGGGATCCAAGAGCATCAGCCCTTGCCAGCACGAGGCTGCATCACCTGCAGCAGCTTCTCCCTCCATGGGAACGCATTGCTTCCCTCTGGAGACAGCCAGGAGAGGGCAACAACACCTCACACACGGGAAAATGAGCTGCTTGTGCTGGAGGAGTGAAGCACTGAGCAGCAGGGAGCTGTTAAAGGCAAAACTGAACAGGGCTTGTCCTTTGATTCCTGCCCAGGGGCTGCTTCAGCTTCGTGAAGCGGGTGGTGCACAAAGGGAACAGGGTGTCCTGTGCTGCCAAATTCATCCCTCTGCGGAGCAAAACCAAGTCTCGAGCTCATCAGGAGAGGGATATCCTTGCCTCTCTGTCCCACGACAGAATTACCAGGCTTCTGGATGAGTTTGAAACACGAAAAACACTGATTTTGATTCTGGAGTTGTATCCTTTTCTGTGCAGTTGTCTGAGGAGGGTGGGAAGTACTGGGTAGAGCTCATTTATTAAATGAGTATGCAATTAACCCTTTTTTTTGTTGGGGTTTTTTTTCTGAGACAAAAAGCTTCTGTACACTGCAGGATAGCACAGCTCTGTGAGAGCTTCACTACAATCCTGGGCTTCTGCTGGGAGAGAAAAAKCATACAAGTGTTAATGGGTTATTAAGCACTAAAATTCTTTTCTGAAACATCTGAAAGCACAAGACTCTGATTCTGTGAGATCCAGTCTGGATGAGCAAGAGGAAATTGCAGAACAAAAAAAAAAAAAAAAAACCAAATTCAACAGGTAGATTTTAGCAGGAGTACTAAAATCTCCACTCTCCTGCTTGTGAGAGCACAGGTTTAGAGCAGCCCAGCTCTGCAGGGAGGACACTGCTGCAGCACAGACTTTCATGACCATAATGCTGGGATCACTTCCTGAATTGTGCTGTTGGCTGGGTGGAGGTGGTTCCACAGTAAAATAAAAACCTTTTCCACATGGTTCTGTTGTCTCTTAATGCCACTGTCAGATGCTCCAATGAAGAGCTCCTGGACCGTTTATTCAAGAAGAGTGTGGTCACTGAAGCTGAGGTAATTTCTGTTTCTTGCTTGAAAGCCCAGAGTTGGTTCCTTCTGCATTTTCAATCCGGAATACAAGAAATGCATTTGAACCAGTGATAAGCTGTCAAAGCAGGATCAGCCTTTAAAATCAACTTCCATCAATAAATTGGGTTTCTTTGGGGAATAACTACAAATATACAGTGTGTTTGACCACCAGCATTGCATTTAGCCTAAAAAAAGAAAAGATTACATGTGCTCTATTATCATAATTTCTTTGCTATCTGCCATCTGGAGCTCCTGTATTTCCACTTACTGAATACTAGTTTATCCCCTTGTAATTGTATTCTATCTACTTCCTTTCTATCTCTAAAATAAAAGCTGAAATTATGCTTTCTAAGGGATTTTTCTTAGATCCTTGGTGCTAAAATTCAAAATGCTTCACATCTCCCATCTAGTACTCCCACCTCATACCCAGGTATGGTCTCATATTTATTGATAACATTAAATAATTATTTTTTTTAATTCTCAGAGGGAAACATCATAGAACCATGGAATGGTTTGGGTTRGGAGTTCAAAATGTGTCACATCTCCCATCTTGTACCCAGGTGTCTCGTATTTATTGGTAACATTGATTTTTTTTTTTTTTAAATTTTCAGAGGAAAACATCATAGAATCATAGAATGGTTTGGGTTGGGAGGTATCTTTAAAGATCAAATCCTGGTGAAATCAGGGACGCTCCTATTTACTCTCACTGTTTAATAGTTGTTTATTTAACAATTGGTTAATAATTGACTCAATTCTTAGGTCAAATTGTATATCAAGCAAATTTTGGAAGGAATCAAATATCTTCATGACAACAACATCCTTCATTTGGACATCAAGGTAACGTGCAGTGACAGCTCTGGCTTTTTCCAGCCTCTTGCTGGCCAGAGAATGGGTGTTCTCTGAGTTACTTTTACAACTGAAAATATCYCCTGATCTCAAAAAAATCCTCTATTTATTTTTTTCATTCATCAGCCGCTGAATATCCTCATGGTTTATCCTGAGAGGGAAGACCTGAAGATCTGTGACTTTGGATTTGCTCAGAAGATCACACCCGTGGAACCTCAGTACAGCAAATACGGCTCTCCTGAGTTTGTTGCCCCAGAAATTGTTTCCCAGTCACCAGTGTCAAAAGCAACTGATATCTGGTAATCTGTCATTTCCCTAAAGAGCTTTTCAGGCCATCAATGGCCTGAATGTCCATTAGCTGTTAATTAGTAAATGGAGCAGTGATAATAACACAAGAAACTGAAAGAGAACGCTGACAAAAAGTGTCCAAAAGCCATCAGGGCTCCTTAAAGCTCCTTCTGTCTAATTTTTTTCCAGCCATAATTGAACTCTGACTGCCAATTAATGCAAARGAGCATCTTAGAGGAGATGATCTCTATTCCAGGCAGCAAGTAGAGAGAATGATCTGAAAGATCATTTCTAGAAAAGGCAAACAAAGTTAAAAAAAGAAGTATTTTGAGTCTTTTCCTCTATCTGTGCTTTAAAAATGGAGGATTGCTTTAAAACAATTCTAAAGAAATATTGAAGGGGAAAAATTAACAGAAAAAAACAATAGCTTTAGGGATTTGTTATCCTTGAAAGATGAGAAGGTGATCTTGCCATTCCAGGGTGTTTAGYGTCAGGAAGAGAGACTTGAGAAGGATGGATAAATAGTGACAAACCTGACAATTGTGTTCCCTCTCTCCTCAGGGCTGTTGGAGTCATCACATATTTAAGGTAAATAAATCTTGGAAACACTCCCTCAATAACCCTTTGTCCATCAGAACCCCCCAGTACTTTCAAGTGAGGGATTTGAGTGGAACAYGCAGTCCTTCCACAATAAGGATAATTTATTTTGTGGCTTACTCCTTTCCCCTCACAAACATTGCAAGTCCCAGGCACCGAGTCCCTCCAGTAAGCTACTTGTTTTTCTGTCATTTGAACAGAAAACACAAGTCTAAAACCTGTCTCCTTTCATTTTATGATGTTCGATAAAAAGCCTTACATGCAAGTCTCCATTTGCTGGGGAGAACGACAGGAAAACCCTCCTAAATATCCAGARTGGGGAAATTTCATGGACCATTCCTGATGTTGTTCACTTGAGTGAAGATGCAAAGGACTTCATGAAAGGGATCCTGCAGCAGAAACCCAAGTGAGTGCCCTCCTGTGCCTTGTTCTGTGCAGAGCTCTTGGTGTCTTAGCCCAGCCCATCATTTGGTTTGAAAAGTAGAAAGCTGAGTGATGAGGTGCATTTTGCCCTAATTCTTCTTCMTTATTCCCCATTACCCAAACCACAACTCAGATATTTGCCAGACTGGTCTCTCTCTTGTGTGCTGATGTCCTTACTCCCTGCCTCCTCCAGGCAGAGGAGTTTCTGGAACACAGACAAGTGGGAAGAGCATGGACTGGTAGGGAGGGAGTATGTGAGAATGAAATACCATTAACCTCATTCATTAGGCAATTTCAAGCACAAAAGCTTGAAGGCATGTTTACAGGCATTTGATTTTAATTTCAGTTCTCCTCTTTCTGCCTGCTGCCAAAGCTGTTTTCACTCTGGCCACCTAAAGAGGCAAAGCCACTCTCAGGGCTGCTCTGAACACCCTTGGACAGGCTCTCTGCAGAGACCCGTGAGCCCTTCCTGAGGATCTGTGGGGAGTGTCAGACTGAAAAAGGAGGATGGCTTCACCTCAGGGGGAGGAAACCTTGGGTTGGAAGTTGCTGTGTCTTGTTGGTTTCTCAGCTCCAAACCAGCAGCCTAAGGACACAGCCCAGAGTGTACATGGGTGCAGCAGCACCTTCAGGAAGATCAGTGGGTGCTGTGCAGGTGATTTCCTACTAAAATGTTGATCTGTTCTCCCACCAGAGCCAGGCCGAGTGCTTTGGACTGTCTTTCCCACAAGTGGTTCATGGTAAGTTTGTCCCTGTCCTTTACCAGTCATTTTCCCCAATATCCAATCTAAACCTCCCTGGTGCAACTTGAGGCCATTTCCTCTTGTTCTGTCATATCACTACAGGAAGTAAACTGGATTTGCAGACCAAAGTTATGGTTTATATTCCAATGCCTTAAATCACTACAGAAAAGAACTAAAAATTAACAACAAAAAAAGGATTTAATGACATGTATTGGACAGGGCTTGCTTTTATCACTGAAAAGGTGATTTTGTCTGCAATTTAACTATGAAAGGATTGTAGCATTTGATTTTCTGTAACTTTCCTAAATGAAACAATTCTCTAAGGAGGGGATCCTAAGAAAAACCACAAAAACTTCTCAGGAAATGAAGTGATTTTTTTTAAACAATGATTTTCCTCCCATTCCACCTGGCAGCACAATGTCCCCCTTGAAGCAGCTCATTTCATTGATACCAAACAGCTCAAATTCATCGTGGCTCGGAGCAAGTGGCAGGTGAGTTGCCCTTAATCTATATTGGTTCTGTTTAGTTGTATCTATTTTTAATGGCACCCGAATATTTGAAAATCTTTTGGGCTAGGACAGAGAGCTCAGCAGAGATCTCAGCATGGCTGTGAGTRGGAAATAAGTCCAGGAGAGAGTTGATGGATGTGTCAGGAATTAATTAATCCAGGCTTTTAATGCCTGGAAATCCTTGCAGGTGCTTGTAAGACTCAAGGTGTGTCTAAGTTAGGTGCCCTCAGCTGCCTTTGCCGTCAGAGCTGAATTACAAACAGGAGCCAGGAAAATGCCTCGTTTCCTGAAGTTCTCTAAAATAATTGGATTGATTGCCTTCTGAACATGCCAGTTTCTCTCTGCTGGCTGGAAGGGGAGGCCCAGCTTAACTGAGATGCCCCATGTGAGAGAATTTAGAGCAGAGGAATCCCACCTCCTACACTGTGGTAGATCTTCTGCTAGCTTAAATCACTGTAGGTTGTATTACAGTCAAAGGATTTCAGACCATTTACTCCAGCGAGTATCTCATTTGATGTTTTCCATCAAAAACTCCTTTCCATCTGCTTTGAGTGGCCACACTAACTTTGGAAAGTGACGCAGGGATCTGCTTCCCCCATTYACAAGAGCAACTGTGTTCCCTAAGGTCAATTTATTTTACAGCTGTGGATGAGGGAAGAGGAAGATGTGGAGAGCAAATAGCCTTGGATTTGTGACTTGTACCAAGGGGTAGCAGCATCTAATTAAACTTGTGGTATTTAGGGGTGCAGGAGTTCAGTTTGGTGTGTTTGCTGTACCATATTCACACCATGTTCCCATCTCCTTGTGCTCTGTCTYATTTTCCTCCTCAGCGCTCCCTGATGTGCTATAAATCCATCCTGGTGATGAGATCTATCCCAGAAATCCTCGAAAGGACTCATGACAACACCTCCCTGGCCATCTCCCGACACCTCATTGAGGAAAGCACTTCATCCAGCACCAGTGGCTCCTCTTCAGACAATGAGAACTCGAATTTCCCCAAGAAGAGGCACTTTGGCTCCACCCCAGAACTGCACATGCCCGTTTTTGATGCCCCGAGCTATCCTGAGCCTCTGAAACGTGCAAGTGTACGGGAGCACTCCAAAACCTCCATCCCCCCAGTAAAGCCCATGAGGAGGAAATACGCTTCTGTGAAAGCTGAGGTGGGGGACAAATCACCCACAGAAAGCAAAGAGCTCATGGCGAGCWTCTTACAGGAGAAAGAGGAGGGGCTCCAGCCCAGCCTTCGAGTGCAGCCATCCCAAATGAGTGCTGCTGCTGAGCCTTCATCCCTGAGGGCTTCCACGRAGAGCATGTCACTTCTGCATCAGAAAGAAAAGCCAGATACATCTTTACCTGATAAGGACAGAGTTGAGGAGGCTGGGGATGGGACAGAAAAGCCATCTGCCTTTGTTCCCAGGCAGAGTGTCATTAAAAGCACCTTCTACAGCCAAGCTACCGAGCTGCCTGCAAGGCCGCCTTCCTCACCAGGCCGGGAGTTCAGGAGGCACCTGGACAGAGCCAGAAGGACTTTCCGGAAAGCTGGATATTCAAAGGTGCCCCTCAGTGGCCTCCGTGAACCCCTCCTTGAGCAGTTTGAACTGGAAGAAGAAGAAGAAGGAGGAGATGATCGCAGGGAAGGTCTGCTGGGATCCCTGACCAAGTCTGCATCATTTGACTCTGCCAGGAAGCCACCACACCCTGCCATTGCTGGTGCCAGCCGCAGCCGTTCCCTGGATGACTACAGGCTGAGAGCCTCCAGGTCATTGAGAGAAGAAGATATTTTGGAGGAGGACTGTGATGTACTGTCCCAGGGAAGCTGTCCTGAAGGCAGTGATCACTGTGACATTTCCACAGGGCCTGCCAAGGGCTGTTCTGTGGATACAACAAAGCCAGRGGGCATTGGGAGAGCCAGCGAGAGTTGCTCAGGAGAGAAGGCCTCTCCCTCCATGCATTGTGAGGGGAATGGGTGCCCAGCTGCTTTTATACAACAGGCAGAGGGACTGCCAGTGTCACCTCACAGGGGTGAGAATAGGAAACGTTTGCTGAAGAAGTCAAAAGCCACCGAGATTGAGGAGGACATTGAGCGTTTGGAAGGCAAAAGCCCCATTCGGACTGCCCAGTGCACAGACGTGACGGCATCATCAGCTCCAGAACATGAGAGCACAGAGGGTAAACCTTCCTCTGGCCATGCCTCTGMCTCTGCTCTTCAGGAGGGCAAAGAGTCCAGTTCAACCCTCACACAGCCAGAGACCACCCCCAAATCATCCCCTCCAAGTAAGGAAGTGTGTCTGCCCCAGGAGTCTGCTCCCACTGACACCCACCCTGATCTAACAGGTGGCAGCTTGCTTATCAAAAGGGCAGCCCCAGCCCCACCGTGGAAAGACAAAAGGCAGAAACATTCAGATGAAAACACTGCTTGTGGCCTTGCTGAATCTGAACTCATGGAGCATGAAAGTTCTGCTGTTCCAACAGAGCAAACAGAAACCGATTCGCTTCCAGTGTGTAAAGACAAAAGKCAGGAAATTCCTGGGAAAAGCATTCCAGCAGCTACAGCCTTGGTGGGCAAACGGCCACATGCCCWTATGGCTGATGAAGGTGCCCCTCAGAAGCTGAAGATCCATAAAGAGGGGCAATCTGCTGTCCTGGAAGATGCAGGAGCAGCTGTTACAGGAATCACTCCACCATCAGCCCACAGGGGTGAAAGCCAAGGGCACAAGAGGGCTCCTGTTCACGGAGACATGACATCAGCCACCCTGAAGGGACAGCAGCTCGCTGTTCCCAAAATCCCACCACCAGGATCAGTGCCAGCTCTGGGCTCCGATGGAGCACAGCAGGATCACAGCAAGGACAGACTTGCTGCTCTGAGGAGTAAAAGCTCAGCTGTCACCRAGGGTGTTTCCAGTTTGGCCCATGAAGGAGCTGAGCCCCAGAAGGTTCCTGCAGGCCATGGCTCAGAGTCTGTTCTGAAGAGCATACACCCAGCCAGAGCTGTGTCCTCCCAAAGCACTGTCCTCCCTCAGGTCTGGGAGAGTGATAAACACCACCCAGAGGTGTCACTTCACAGTGAGATGAGATCTGTTGTGACAGCGAGTGGAAGCCGAGCAGCTGGACAGGCTGTGGCTGCTCCTTTCCCCAAGGCTGGACATGGGATGTCTGAGCAGCACAGGGCTGGGATTTCAGATGGGCTGGAGAGTGGCAGCCCAGGTGCATTAACTGCTTCACAACCAGAAGTTGCTCCAGCTTCAGTCTATGAATTCATTGAATATGAGGAATATCCAGAGGTTTACAGTGAGGGTGGAGGCATTGCCTTAGAAAGTGGAGGATCTGATGATGGAAAAGGTGTCCCTCCATTGCTCYGCAGGGATCATGGCCAGGAACTGTCACATCACAGGTCTTCTTTTTACAGTGACGAGGAGTCTGCTGCAYTGGAGGGCTTAGTGGATGAGATGGTTTCCCTCTCCGAAGAGATGAATGTTTGGGCAGAGTCAGTTTCTGGAGAGAAGGAAAGCAGGAAGCACATTTCTCCTAGCAGAGAGATGTTCTTCAAAGGCAGCCAAGCCCCCATGGACACCTTCCCTTCTGCACAGCAGGGTGGAAGAGAAGTGTCTGAGAAGGACGACTTTGCAGAACCCTACCTTGCTGTGAGCGAGGAGCCAGGAATCCTGGAAGGGCAGGAAGCACAGACAGTTCCTCAAGAGTGTGAGCACCTGGAGGACTTGGCATTTGAGACCCCCCCTTCCAGCCGAGACAGCGTCTCCTCAACAGAGAGCTTGGACACTGCAAAAAGGCCCATCCACGTGCCGGTGATCAAGGACACGGGCAAACACCCAGAAGTTTCTTTGGTGAAAATCAAAGACCTGTCAGATGAAACACCCAGTCTTGGCAGTGGCCCCCAAAAGTTTGACATCTCAGAGGTGGAGCCTGCCTATTTGAATTTCTCGGATTTGTACGACATTGTCTATTTTCCATTTGAATTTCTGAGCTACAAGAAGCCTTCGCCCAAACCAGTTCCTAGACGGTTTATGCTTCTTGGTGAAAGGGCAAGGTCCCCTCCTGCAGGACATCTCCATAAGGATAAAAGACTGTGCATCAGGGAGCAGGAAGACAAGAACAAGAAGAACCGTTTGGAAATATCTGAGGAATCAAAGGCAACAGACTTGGTAGCTATGGGGAAAGGGGCAGAGAGCCATAAAGAAATGTATAGCTCCCAAAAGGACCCCAGTGGGAAGCAGAAAAGCTCCTTCCACACCAAGCCTGGACTCTTTAAGCCATATGCCAGGTCTCATTCGGTGGAGCAGTCGGTGGAGCAGAGTCTGAAGAAGAAAGTAAAAGCTTCTGTTGCCCATATTTCAAGAATCCTGAAAGGAAAGATGTCTCCTGAGCCAGAGGAAGGTAATTATTTCACTCTGTTCCTTCACAGATTTTCTGCTATTACCTGTTTTTCTGCTAAAGCTGCCTTTTTTATTTGTCTCCAGTATATTTGAGGCTGTGATTAGACTGGGATTGCAAATCTGGCCGTAGCAGATTCTGAAATCAGTAGTCTCCAGCTTCACCATCAGCCCTCTATTAGTGGCTGGCTTCAGTGCAGAATCAGCTGGGTCAATCTGCTGATGGAAGGGGCTCACATTCCCAGTCTGAGGTTGCACAGAAGCAGCAAATCAGGGATGGGTGATGCTTTCCTTGCTGCAGTTATCATCTGACCATGGCAAATCTCTAAGGTTAAAGTAATGGGAGAAGCTGAAGTCRCTCTGGCTACTGGACATGGGAATCTGTCTTTTCTTCTCTGCCACCCCTGGATATTCCTTGTTCTTCCAGAACATTTTGCAACAGCTGTCACAGCCTTTCCTGTTAATCAAAGGCTTGTTAATAAGGGAACCTGTGACTGCTGAGCTATGTATGTGTGAGTGGCACAGCTGTCACTGCAAATGGATGCCACGGGGAGAAGGATGGCCTTGAATGACTTCTCATCCTTCCTCACAACAGAGTYTGGTGAGCTGGGAAGTGAGGCAGCAGAAAAGGAGCTGTTACTAGGGGCTGAAGGATCTCTGAAGAGGAAATCAGCACTGCCTTCATTCAAGTTACCAAGCCTCATCCCAAAGGAGAAAGGTATTGCTGTGGCACAAGTCACTGGTTTGTTTTACCCCCAGAGGATGATGCAGCAAAGCTGAACTTGCTTTTTCCCTAGCAAGTTTCCTCTTGACTCAATCAGGAGCATTTTCCACGGTCAGGTTACTGCCCCAGCATTCAGCAGAGCCCAGGCAAAAACTGGGAAGGGCAAGTGTGGGAGGCTCGCAGCCCCAGCCACTGTGGAGGGAAAACCCTGGAGAAACACAGAAGAAAATATGAGCTCTCCCTTTCMCATGGAGATGAGAGCAGATTTGATGCTCTGTGGGGTTTTTCCTTCTTCTATTTCCATCTTTCACGTCTCCTTTTCTTGTGTTGTCTTGATCACAGAATCATTTATGTTGGCAAAGGCCTCTAAGATCATCAAGTGCAACCGTTAACCCGGTACTGCCAAGGCCACCACAAAACCATGYCCCCAAGAGCCACACATCTGTTAAATCCCTCCAGGGATGGTGACATTTCCCTGGGCATCCTCCTCCAACCCTTGACAACACTTTCCATGAAGATATTTTCCCWAATATCCAATCTCAACCTCCCTTGGTGCAACTGGAGGCCATTTYCTCTTGTCCTATTAGATCCTCTCATCCTTGAAATTCCATAATTTAGTTTTGTCTCCACATTTAGGCTTGGTCAGAGGAACACCCTTGCTRTGATGGGGCCTCTGAGCTGTTCTGCTGCCTTAGCTGTACCAGGGCTGGGCAATGCAGATATTCCCCATGGATTTTCTGAGATCCATCTTGATCTGTCACACTGCACCCGTGGGTGAACCTGTGTGCTCTATGCCCAAGGGATTGTCCAAACAGTGGCCAAAGGAATGACAGACCTGGAACCAGAAAAKTTCTTGACCCCATTAAAAATGCTGTCTCATGTCCTGCAGGGATTTATTTTCCACAAAGCTCCCCTGGCTATGCTGAATCACTGCTTTTCCTCCTCTCTGCAGCTCCATCATTTGTTGAGGAGCTCATGGACCAGGCTGCAGCTGCTGGACAGTGCGTGACACTCTCGTGCCGGACAGCAGCACACTCCTCCCTGCACATCAACTGGTTCAGAGGTGACACTGCCATCCCTCCAGAGTGTCCCTGACCACCGGGACAGGGCTGCAGGGACAACTTCAAACACCTTGGTATTGATTTGCAGGGTACTTACCTCTCCCATCTTCTGCTTTCCAGATGGGATACCCRTCCAGAGCAGCAGCCGGATCCTGATCTCATCCACGCTCAAACACTTCCAGCTCCTAACGATTCTCTCTGTTACTGCTGAGGATTTTGGTATTTACACCTGTGTGGCCACAAACTCCCTGGGCTCAGCATCCACCTCGTGTGTCATAAGGAAAGCGGGTAAGAGAAGGAGTAGCTACAGAAATGGGTATTTAAGTACTTCTGCCCCAAAGTGCGACCTGTGAATAGCTTTGAGGTGARATTTCTGCACATGGGTGCAGAGGAAAATCTCCCCCTTGCTGTGGTCTGCAGCCTTGCTGGTGGTAGTGTGGCACATATTGCAGGGTTCATTCCCTCTTCTTCACTCTTTATTTTCTCTCCTGGATGAAAAACCACTCCAAGACAAAATCTTAATACTGAGCTTAAATTAGGGGTGGTTAAATTGCTATTGCATAGGTGTGATATTATATATATATAAAACATATACATGTTTCATTTATATAAATAAATATAAATTTATATTTTAAATTAAATATTTTAAATATAATAATTATATTTAATAGTAGTATCTAATATTTAATAACATTTAGTAAATGTTATTGTATCTGCAACTGAGGTATGCTGGGTGTAGAGTTTTGTATCACAGCAGTGCTGCTCTGGACACTCACGGGGTTTGTGCCTCCTTTCCCCAGAGGTTCCTCCCAGCCCTCCACCCCCTGACATCGTGGAGGTGTACAAGGATGGAGTGCAGCTGGTTTGGAAACCTGTGGAAACCAACACCCCTGTCCATTACACTGTCCAGTGCAAGAGTGAAGGTAAAGTGCTGTGCTTATGCTTTGCAAGGGACATCTCAGTTTGTATGATCTGTTCACCAGCTGGATATTTTATTTTTATTCATAAATAGCCTGATTTAACTCCCTAGTATAGAGTTAGGAATGAAATTCATACAGCCACCATCTGGCCATCTAAAAGTCAGGGGTTGTGCTGGTTAAATCAGCCTGGAATTTGCATCTTCATTCCAAGGCTTTGCTAAAATCTGAATCAAACTAAGCTGTGTGGAAGCTTCAACCAAAAAGTGAGCAGTAAAGGGAGAAAATGCCTGGCTGGTGTCTCATAAACAGCCCTGAATAATCAGACAAAATTAGACCTTAATGAGACAACGTCATCCCAGGCTCAGGCTTTCTGTACAGTCTGTGGAGAAAGATGGTTTGTCAAACAGGCAATTCATCCTCTGCTGAACAGCTGTGCTTTCTTTTCCCATTGATTATGGAGGAAGCTTAGGGCAAACAGCCTGGACAAGATAACCAAAGTTTGGCAAAACTGCATCACCCCTTTGATATTCTCTTTCAACCCTTGGTCCAGAACTTGATGAAAGTCAGTGGATCATCCAATCATGGAATGGAAGGGACCTTAAATCATCTCGTTCTACCCTCTGCCATGGGAGGGACACCTTCCACTATCCCAGGGTGCTCCAAGCCCTGTCCAGCCTGGCCTTGGACACTGCCAGGGATCCAGGGGCAGCCACAGCTGCTCTGGGCACCCTGTGCCAGGGCCTCCCCACCCTCTGAGCAAATAAATTCTTCCTGGCATCTAAATCTCTCCTCTTACAGTTTGAAGCTGTTCCCATTTGTCCTGTCACTGTCTGCCCTTGTCAAAAGTGAATGTTTTCCTGTTAAGTTCCAAAAACTTTGAATCAAATCCCCCGAGGCTGCTCTGTCTCTCGGGACTGCTTTGCTGTTGTTATTATGAATGTGATGTTTGATAGCAATCCCTGCTGCAGTCACACAAACACAGCCCTYTGGATTCAGCTGCTTGCTGTTCCTTCACTTAATTCTCCAAACAAACAAACAAACAAACACTCCTTTCTGGATTAGCATGAGCGTGGGCAGCAGCTTTCTGCCTTTTTCCTCTGGAGCTGGTGGGAGTCACTTTTCCTCCAACACAACCTTCTTTATTGTTACTCATTTTGACACAACTGGAGGAGAGATTCTGGGGAAGATACAAACACAAGTTCTTCCAATTAGGGAAAAAAAAGGAAAACAGCATCTACAGTCTTCTAGGGTATTCTGTGTATTCGGCAGGAACATGGAAAGTCCTGCTCTCCTGAACACAGGAGGATTAAGACAATCAGGAATAAATTCCTTGATTTATCCATTATTTGACAATAGGGTTTTGTATGCTGCTTCTGCAGATCTTTYCCCCTATTTTTAAGATGCATCTCCACCTTTTTACAGAAACACAAACCCCAATTCAACCAGTACCCTGCAAAGTCATTGATACCTTGGGTTTGGGTGGGGAATTGCTGCAATGGTTTCAGGCTGTCTGGCAGAACATATTTGAATGGAAGGATGGTTTTAATCCCAGGCACTTGCAGGGATTTGAGCTCAGCCTTGAGCACAGCAGCAAAATATGGGACACAGCATTGTGTGGAATGAATGGTCATTAAAAATTTGTGGAAGATTTTCTCCTTCCTAACTTAATCCCATGAATAACAAGTCCAGAACATACCTACAATTCCAGTTCCATGAGAAACCATCTGAGTTTCACAAAAGTTGAGTAAAACTGCCCACATTTCAAACACTGGGTTTGCCGGGATGGTGTTAGCAGATGGTTCTGTCCAGGAATCCTGCACCTCATGATCTCAACTGAATTCAAGACAGGGTCAAAAGGAAAAAAAAAAAAAAACCAAAAAAAAGTGATTCGCCTTTTGTTTGGAGTTCTTGATGTATATTTCCAGTAGAGTTTGGTGGTAGGAATTAGATAAAGAGAAAAAAGTTTCACCACTCCTCTGGAACAATACTGGCACAACTTGGAATTAATTGATATAAACCAGCTGATTTTAGAGGAGAATAGCTCAGGTACAGCACAAAAGTTAGCCATGGGAAGTTGATTTCTCCTTATTCCCAGCACAGAAGTAAAACTGGGTGAAAAAAATCCCACAGCAAAACCCCAAACTCAAAAAACCTCCAATGCATTGTAACCACCCTAAATGAGTCCTGATCTCTTTTCTCTCTTCTCTTGGTGAAGATGGGGAGTGGACAACTCTTGCTTCTGACCTCACTGACTGCTGCTACTACGCCAGAAATCTCCCCCAGGGCTTYGTCTACCACTTCAGGACAGCCTGCACCAGCAAGGCAGGGATGGGCCCCTACAGCGACCCCTCTGCCAAAGTGAAAATGACTGGGAAGGATCAGATGGGTAAGATCAAATATCAAGAAAGCTTTGGGGCTTTCTTGCATCAAAACACTGCAAGATCTGGGCCCAGAAGTCAAGAGCAAGTGAGTCAGTTCCACTTAGGAATCGGCTCAGGGCTGTTCAGGGCTTTTGCATCTAAAATTCAATTATTTTCTAATTCTGGACACAGGGAAATAGGTATAAAAATATTAAAACCCCCAATAAAATGGTAACATTTTGTAAATACTAACAATATGTAAACATATATGATAAAATATATATAATAAAACAAAAGTCTGGGGACTGTAGATTATCTATTTAAGACATRGTTTTGATTTGAGATTATGAGGAAATGGGTCTTGTACAATAAATGTGTTATTGTAGGTATTTTTCTATTGATACAAATCTGGCACTGGAGAAAACTCTGAACTTGCTTCTATTATGGATTAATCCTAAATCTGTTTGTTAATTTCTCTATTCTCGTGTTTTCCATTGGGAATTATTGTACATCAATGGTGAATTTTCCAGCTGTATTTTGTCTCTGAAGTAAAGAAAGCTCAATTTACTATTTTTTTCACCTGTTGGACTACTCTGTACGACTCACATGTTTTTAAAATTAAGAGATCCATAACCCCACAGCAAATATAGCCTTGTAGCAAAGGAAGTGTCCTTTCTGTGAAGAAACAGAAGAATGGTCTAGCTGGAATTTCCTCCCAATGGAGAGGATTGCTCTGTAAAAATCAGTTCACAAAGATATTTTTAAGTCACCCCAAGTCCTTTGCTTTCCCTTTTCTCAGGATTTGTTATCATATCTGTTGTCCAGCATTTCCAAACAGATGATTTAAAGGGATGCTTTAGTGTTTCAGGGAGTGCTTGGACACACTCACGCCAGAATCAGAGCAATAAGTTCCAGCTGCTGCCCTGAAATATCCAGCCACAAGATATTTCCAATTTCTCATCAGTTTTTTGCCATGCCCTGAGGAATTGTTCTGTGGGAAGATGAGAAACATCATCTGAGATGTTCGATATCACAGCACACAACATAGAATCCATCTCATTCTGTCAGGAATGGCCAAACCAGGAACTTTCTGGGTGGACAGAGCAGAATCTGTTGCATTACAATAGCACTGGGTGCCACAGCTGAGAGGCAGGCACAAAGAGCACCTGGAGAAAGTCCTGCTGTCACCCTTGTGTTGTTCACAGAGAGCAGGGGATGCAGAGAGGCTCCAGYTCCCACACAGAGCTGTGTTCCCATGTAACCCCTGTCCCTTTTTTTTCCTCCAGAGCTTCGTGCTGCCACGCAGGAGTTCCCATCAGCTGCCTCTGAAGAGGAAAGTGAAATGATCACACCTCCTGAGCCCTTCCCATCCTACCAGACCTACGCCTTCCAAACCGAGATCAAAAGGTAGAGAATCCAACTGAGCTCTCAGTAACCCACAGGGAAATCACACATGTGATGGAGCAGCTCTCCTGTGAGGAAAGGTTGAGAAAATTGGGATTGTTCCGCCTGGAGAAGAGAAGCTTCGGGGGTGACCTTACTGTGACCTTCCAAGAACTGAAAGGAGCCTACAAGAAAAATGGACAGGGACTTTATTTAAGGGGATGTAGTAACAGGACAAGGGGATGGYTTCAAACTGAAAAAGAGTAGGTTTATGTTAGATATTAGGGAAAAATACTTCCCTGTGAGTGTGGTCAGGCCTCGGCACAGATTACCCAGAGAATCTGTGGCTGCCCCTGGAAATGTTCAAGCCTATGTTATTTTACCACCCTTACTGTAAAAAACCTTCTTCCTCATATCTAGTCTAAATCCACCCTCTTTTTGTTTAAAACCAACACCCCTTGTCCTGTCACAACAGATGTGCTGGACAGCAGGGCAGCCACTTGATTTACCATGAAGTGAGCTCAGGGCTAACCAAGCTTCCTGTCCTTGCTGCATCAACCTTTGCAGCCACCGTTTCAGTCAGGGTGTTTGGACTCAACTTTCTCTGCCCAGAAGAGAGACACTGACTTCTGCTGCCAGCAGTAGTTCTCTTGCTCTCTCCTCTCTTTCCAGAGAAGTTAAGCTCTCACTCCTGTAATTTAAAGTACAGTTTAAAGACACAGGAGGATGTGCAAACTGTGACAATAGATGCAATAACTCCCTATCAGGGACAGATGAAAAACACAGCATGGGATCCTGGTGGTTTTAAAGAACAGAAGCTCCTCTGGCTCTTCCAGGAGCAGCAGAGAAGTTTAACGTGCCTTTGTGTCCCTTTGTACCAGGGGCCGATTCAGCATTGTCCGGCAGTGCCGGGAGAAGGTGAGCGGCAAGGCTTTGGCTGCTAAAATCATCCCTTACTGGCAAGAGGACAAGCAGGCTGTGCTCCTGGAGTACCAGGTGCTGAGGAAGCTTCACCACACAAACATAGCCCAGCTGAAGGGAGCCTAYGTCAGCCCCAGGCACTTGGTGCTGATCCAGGAGATGTGTGTGGGGCCAGAGCTGCTCCACTCCTTGGCATTACGGTAAGTACAGGGGGAAGGGTTTTTCAGTCAGGGATAGTGTTGGGAGGAAAACACCTGTTGCTTTCTCCTGACAAACTGGATCATCCCTCTCCATCTGTTCCAGCGTGCTGTCAGTGCACACAGGATTTGTAAAGCGTTTGTTCTGCACCTTCTTGTGAGTTTAAAAAATTACTTGAGTTCCCTACAGGGGGACAATTCAGGGCCACCTGGTTAGGATGTCAAAAGCAGCTCACAGGGGTGGATATGAAACCCCATCTCCCATAACATGGAGGAGGTGACTGTGGGTCAGGAAGATTCATTATTTCTCACAGTGGCAGAAAATGGATCTGCTGAAATCCTGTGGTTAAAAGAGAGGGAATGGTTGGCATCAAATCTGCTTTCTCTATTTCAGCTCTAACTGATGCCTGATGATTTTTGCTTTTCCTTTTTACACTTTTTGTACCCTCTATACGTCCTCCTGTACCCCTTAGGCTGCATACTGGTAATTCCTACAGCCTSATATTCCATCTTAGTGTAGGGGTTCTGCTGGGCAGAGAGACCAAACATCCTGAGGAAGGGGTCAGTGTGCCCTGTGGTATCTTAAACCCAAAGCTCTAGCCTTGAGTGAAGCCTTCTCTCTGGAACATATTGTGTAAACTRTGTTCTGGCCTCATCCGGAGGGTGGGATTCATTAGAATAAGAAGRCATTMCTGCATTTGTGAAGTTTCTTATTGGGGAATCCTAGATAAATATGCTAATTCCTGAAATCTATAAAACTTSTATCTGTGCTATACATGGGTGTGCATTCTGCCATCAAATTGTGACCTAGGATCCCAAATACCAAGGTAAAACCCTTTTATCCCCTTAACCATATCTGTGTCATTATTAAAAACTAGCCATCAAGGCAACACTACAACATCCTGAACTTCTTGCACCTGTAAAATGGACTCACAGAATGGACCARCCTCTCCACACACAGCAGATTTGCTGAAACAGAGTTGTTTCTTCTTGACTCTCATGAGTCTGATGGGATCAGACACACAGGGGAGGGTGACAGTAGGTGTAAAAAGGCATTTTTGGGCATGCAGAGAGGACACCTCTGTTTTCTATCCCCTTTCTCCCACCAGGACATCCTACTCAGAGGTGGAGGTCCGAGACTACCTGTGGCAGATCCTCAGTGCCACCGAATACCTCCATGCACACAACATCCTGCACCTGGATCTCAGGTCTGAGAACATGATCATCACCGAGCCCAACCTGCTGAAACTCCTGGATTTTGGGAATGCACAGTTCTACACACCAGACAAATTTATTACCATGGACAAATGTTCGGACTAYGTCGAAACCATGGGTGAGTAGAGCTCAGTCACAATGAGTTGGGGCTCATCTGCAGTCTGTGATAAACAGAAAGGCACAAACATTGGTCAAGGCAGCAAGAAAAGCCTTCCAGGTGCTGCTCTCCAGTGACAGTATGAGCTTATGGGAGCAGTGAGTGGTGACAGCTGTCCCACTGTGTCCCACTGGGGACCACAGGGGACAGAGCTCACACTACCAGCACTCTGGCAGGCATCYATGTGTCCATTTATCCAGGGATAAAGCACTGCTGCCCATCTGGCCAGAGGTTCTTATGGTTTCACTGCAATCAGCATCCACATGGATGTCCCACCCCAACCAGCTCCCTGTCCCAGGAGCTGCCCCTCTTCACTCTTGGGAAGGCAGCAAAGMATGAAAGAATGCACTGCTTTTGTGCTGCTCTCAGTGTGTTGGAGAGGAGCTTGGCTCACATCAGTTTGCTTTTTCAGCTCCAGAACTGCTGACAGAGCAAGGAGCCCTTCCCCAGACTGATATCTGGTCCGTTGGAATCACAGCCTTCATCATGTGAGTCAGTTGATTGTTCCCTGCCCTATGAGTGGCTTTCAAATCACAATTTCAGAGAGTTAATGTCAGCTGTGCCCCCTCTCCTTGGCAGTGTCATGGGAAGCTGTGAGATGGAGGGGATGGATGGGCAACCTGTGCCAGGGCCTCACTGCCCTCAAAGGGAAGAGTCTCTTCCCAATATCTAATCTACAGCTATCCTCTTTTAATTTAAAACCTTTCACCCTTGACCTGCAACTACAAGCCCTCATCCAAGTCCCTCTCCAGCTCTCTTGGAGCCCCTTTATGTACTGGAATGGACTCTAAGGTCTCCCTGGAGCATTCTCTTCTGCAGGATGAGCAATCCCAACTCTCCCAGCTTTTCCTCACAGCAGAGGTGCTCCATCTCTCTGCTCACCCTGTTGGCCTCCTCTGGACTCGCTCCAACAGCTCCACATCCTACTTGTGCTGGGAGTCCCACAGCTGGAGGCAGGTTCATGTTATCAATTCTCTTCCTCTGGGGCAGGTTGAGTGCCAACTACCCCATCAGCTCCGATGCACCCTGTGAGTTCCTGAGAACAGCCAGGAAGGGGAAACTGAAGCTCACGCGGTGCTACGCGGGTCTCTCCGGGGGAGCCGTGTCCTTCCTGCAGAGCACTCTGTGTGCAAACCCTTGGTAAGATGCTGTGTCCTCCCAGCAGCACAGCTGGAGCAGATCCTGGATTTTGCCCCTTCTCTCCATTTGCAAGGAGCATCCTCACCCAGCACGGACCCCTAACTGACCCCTCACCTTTGTCTGTCCTAGGGGAAGGCCGTCAGCCTCCGAGTGCCTTCAGAGCCCRTGGCTCCAGGAGACAGGTTTGGACAACAGGCAGCAGGCACTGGTCACCTTCCCCACCACCAAACTGAGGAATTTCCTCATGGAACGGGAAAAGAAGAGGGGCCTGCTGTGCTCCAAGTATGGCCTCATGATTGCACAGTGATGTGGATGTGGTGACAGGCGTGAATTGCCTCCCTGTGCCCTTCTACACGGAGTGTTGGGTCCCAAACCCTCCTGCCAAGCTGCTGTGCAGCAGCTGAGCTGGGGGAGCTGCTCTCTGCCCAGCCTCATWGTTTCATCCGTGTGTCCTGCCTACCTGGGGCTGTTTCTGTGTAAGTGTGACTCAGGAGCGACTGGGCCACTGGACACTGAAGGCAGGAACCCCAACAATGACCATATCACATGCAGATGTTGTACCACTGAGAGACTTTCCCACTTTGAAGCTGAGCTGCGCTTCCCTGGGGAGCAGGGACACATCTACCCGAAGATGTGACAGCAGTGTCCCCAGCAAAGGCTGCATGTTTTAATTTTGAAATGTCACGTTCCTCTTTACCTTCAAACCCTGCTTTCCTCTGCAAAGGATGGTGTTGGCTGTGTCATTGCTTTGCACTCATAACCTCAGTGCTCCTTTGAGTTTCTCTGCAGTGATTGATGTATATGTTGGTTCCCTCAGTTTTTGGAGGCTTTCTCAGAGCTGTGCCTGGCTGTGTTTAGAGGAAGGAGAACAGGAAGTCAGTTCAATACTAGAATGCATTACAGTTCAATACTAGAAGTGAAGCTGTTTATCCACGGATGCTCTTTCCCAACAAGTTTTACCCATATTGTTCCAAACCTGAAGGATGGAGCATTGTGACTCCTTCCCTTGCTGGGCATGCAGAGCAGGAATTGTGACTGAGAGCAGAGGAGCTTTCCCTGTGCTCTGGAGAGCAGGCACYGACTCCACAGATTGTAAAACTTGGAATGTTGAAGTGAAATTATCTTCACTGTGTGCCACAGGAGAGAAACCCAAGGGCTTAGGGCCAGACTCCATGCTCAGTTCTCTGGGGTGACAGACACTGCACTGTCCCCCCAGGAAACCTTTCAAGACTCTGGATTCTGTCCAATTTAACTTCTACAAATCCAGTCAGGTTTTTTGTTGGCACAGGCTGGTTCGTTGCTCTTCCTGGTGCTCTTGCTGGAACGGAAAGCTCAGTGCCAGGGAAAAACCCATCTAAACATAACACTTAATTGCAGATTAACTCTTTTGGAGCTCTCATACTCTTCCATATATGACTTTTTTTTGCTTCTCACAATTGCATRCATTTCAGCATGTCTGAGGTCTTTCATAGACTCAATACTGTTTGGTTAAATAAATCATTCTGACAAGCAAGTAAAGCCAGATTTTTCTGCTGAATTATTGTAATTATTTTTAATATATCCCTTCCCCAAACCCATTCGATATTTGAGTAGCACACATCCCTCACTCCCCAACTCTGACCTGGGGTCCTTACAAGTGATAACCAATATATACTGTATATAAGAAGGGAACAACTTCCATGCAAGACATCAACACGGAAAAATCCTTTTCGTAGAGCCTTGGAGTGATGTGAGGATGGCTCTAAGCTGCCCAGCTATCCCAAGGCATTCCTGGGCATGATTTGGAGCTTGCACTGGCCAGAATGTGAGAAGGGCTTTAGAGGAATGAATCCATGGGTGACAAAAAGGTASGTGAGAGCTGTAGATGGAGTGTGGAAGGAGTGAAAAGGTGCTRGAATTGCTAAGGGAAATATTAACTGTCACAGTCACTGACTGTGACTACTTACAGGTAGTTTTTGTTTTCCTTGGTTCTGCCACAACTGCTTGATAGTTTCTGCCTAAATTCCCACCACCACCATGAGGTCAGGACTACCGATTGGTCTGGCAGGATTGGATAGTTTGCCCTCACCATACAGTTGCAGCATCACCCTGCCCTTTGCAAAACAAAGCAGAATCKGGATCTGCTGTTTGGATATATGTGAAAATGTTTGAGTTTCATTCCTCRATCATAAATAATCTCCAAGGTCCAAGGTTAGTGTCAGCATGAAAATGAATCCACTTTTCTCCATGCAGGAAAGGCCAGGAATTAACTTCGGTAAGGAAGTGGGCAGAGCCTAATTATTGAAGGGTAATAAAATAAAGTAGAGCTTGTAGAGCAAAGTTTTACCCTGCTTTGATGCAGCAGATAAAATATATATTTGAGGGCTATAAGGTCACAGGGACTGTAGCCYATAAGGGATTGAGGTTGCTCCCCTTGGGGGCTTCATCAAATACAAGAAGGGGACCATAGGCAAGACAATTTGAAAATCCCAAGGAAATTCTTACATCTCTGGAGAGGCTATTTGCTGCTCTCYGACCTTCCAGGGGTCACCACAAGCTGATGCCATCCTGCTAATGATATTTCATATGGAAAATAAATGATCAGGTGCAGAGTGTGACCAGACACCTATTTGCATCTAACCAGCCTTTTTCATCCCATTACATCTCAATTTTCCTCCCCAAATCACCTAAATCCATCCTTCATCCCCCTTTGGTTCCTCCCCAAAACACCATACTATAAGACCTGAACAATTCTAAAATGCTCTTCCCCTACACACAATAGGATCTCTCCCCTGCCTTGACACAATCCCCCTTATCCCAGGTGGTGATCCAGAGGGCTGTTTCCGATGACACATCTCCATGGGTGTCATGCTGGGATGGTGGGGCTGATGGCTCTGCYGGGACAGCCCTGGGAGGGACCTGGACAAAATACTTACTCCTTGGAAACCCTTAGTTTGGGTTCCCACCTGCCAACATGGCCCTGCGCTCCTCTGGGCTTTCAATAGGTTGATGGCCATGGGGATGGGGCTGGGAGCAGCCTGGCAGGGCACATTCTGTCTCTCTGTGCAGATTAACTTCTATAACAACAACAGAGCAGCAGCACACGTGAAGGAGGTAAAAGCTGAAGCCATGAYAAACATGAAGCAAACAAGATCATATCAGCGTTGGCAGTGCACAGATCTGATAACCACGGGATCAGGCAGTTTGTCCCACAGGTAACACCAAACACCAGCAGGACTCCCCAATTTAAAAGCATGGCCGGTATCTGAAGCGAACGTCACGGACRGGCTGCATCGTCCCGAATCCCCAGCGGCTGATGTCTATGGCTGGGATCTCCTCCTCCTCATTGACCAGCTCCAGGTCATAGTGACTCAGCATCAAGAACACAAACAGTTTCATCTCAGCTGAAGCGAAGAATCGCCCGGGACAGGTGGAAACTCCCGCCCCCCAAGGCATGTTGACAAATTTCACCTTCTTTCCATTTCTGTAGAAATCTTTCTTGGTGCCGTCTGGGTTTACGAAACGGTCGTACTTAAATTTGTGAGGYTCCTCGTGGATTTCTGGATTCATGTGCACGGAGATGTGGGGGAACAGAGCCAACCTGTCCCCCTTGCGAAGCRTGAACTCTGTCCCACTGCTTGTCCTCAGGCTGGTGTCTTCGAGGACAGCTCTGGTCAGCATTGGCGCTGCCACCAACCTCAGGGTCTCCTCCAGAGCACCATCCAGCAGAGGAGTCCGGCTCAGCATGTCCCTAGTGATGGTAATTGGGGGGCTCCCTGCCTTCACTTCCTGCCCACTCTCCCTCAAGACTTTATCCACCTCATCTCTCACAGCCTTMAGAGCCTCTGGATGCTTCAGCAGATACAAGAGGAGCCAGAAGGCAGTTGGGCCCGTGTTTCCTTGGGCTGCCCAGAGGAGCATGAACATGAAACGATCCCGCATGTACTCGGGGACACCATTYTCTGCCAGAAGTTGGTCTTGATCACTTATCCAGTCACTGATGTTGTCCTTCTGCCAGACTTTCTTCACAGACAGCACGTTCCAGAAGTGCCTCTTCAGCCTCTCAGCTTCTCTTTTGTCCTTGGGAGGCAACATAGCAAAGGCCAGACGAGGGAAGAGGCGGTCRTACTTCCGAAACTCATGGAAGATCTGGTTGGAGTGGAGGCAATCCTGCTCTTCAGCTTTCTCCTCGCTCCCTGCCCCTCGGGCTGGCTCAGTGCCATACAGAGCCAGGTACCCTGCTCTGAAAATGATGTTGTAGCAGTAGTGGAAGAGGTTTTCCTCCTTCCACACTCGCTTGTCTCCCGAGCTCAGGCTGAAAAGCATCAGTTTCCGAAAGCTCTCCATGGTGGCTTGTGTGAGAGCAGTGAGTCCATCTCCCATCAGGTGCTTCGTGCTTGATGCATGAACTATGCTATGAGTGGCTTTGATGGGCTTGTAGCCAAAAACCTGCACRACCAGCTGAGTTGCAGAAGTAGTAAAGTCCAGTTTAGATCGCGATTCCTTCACGATGGCACCAAAGCAGAAAGGATCCATCACAAAGGTGAAATAATAGCCACCRATCAGCACTGTGAAAACATCCCCATGTTTCCTCTGCATCCTTTTGAGAAACTCAGAGCTGTCCTTCCTGAATTCCAGCAAGTGGCCCAGCCAGGGAATGGTACCTTTGTCCAGGGGCGGCTCATTGGGTCTCCGTCTCCGAAACACCCCCAGGACATAGAGCCCACCGAGCAGCGATGACACCAAGGTACAGAGGAGAATCACCCAGAGCTCCATGAGAGTTCTGTGCCCGTCCGGGAGCTGGGACTAGAGACAGGTTGGGGCGGGAATGTGCATTTCATTCCCACCCAGCAGCTGATAGGCAGATGCAGAGCTCACAACCTCTGTCCTCATTGGCAGCAAGTGTTTGCCTTACCCTGCAATGCGCTCAGGTGTAAACTTGTCACTGGGTGAACAGAGATTTTTAAGGTGGCAGGTATGTTGTAATCTCATTGGAGTACCCATATTGTGTTAGSGGAGTGGGTTTTGGTATGAGACAAATTCCCTTCTCTAGTGTGCATGCATTTGAGAAGCCCATTTTTTGTAAGGAAAATGTTCAGAGAATTCCACTCTGTGATTTCTGCCTTTAGGACCAAGCTATGGATGCAAGCTGAAAAAATGAAACAGAGTGAATGTGGGAAATGTTACAGAAATGAGCACAGGACCAAGGGAAGGGGGTCACAGCTGAGCCAATCTGGTCTCAAAAACCAAGAGAAGGAAAGGGCTCTGACATTTGGGTGTTCTCCACAATACCCACTATCCAGGAATGCTTTACCTGGACAAGTGTAAGTGCACCTGCTCTGAGTGCAAAGCAAAGCAGCTGAGCTTCCCCATAAGGAGAGCTCGAGTCACTGCCTTCACTTGGCACCAAATGAGTCCAGAGCCTTCAAATATCCCTCCCAGTCCCCAGCTGGAGAGCAGTGCCCACAGGGACTACAGACCTGCTTCATCCACTGTCCCTTCTGCTTGTCAATCTCCCCAGCTCCCCTCTCTCCAGATGGGGTTTGGGGACAATGCCAGAGACCTTGTGTCCCACCTGGGACTGCTCCTCTGGGTGCTGCCACCCTGATCTACCCAGACTGTCACCACAGCCTGTTCCAGCTGCTGGTGCCTGGACCTCTCCAGGCACACAGGATAAAGAGTGACATTAATCCCCCTCTATTTCCTCCACCTTTGTCCTTCTCCTGAGCATCTCATCAAAAGTTTTCCACAGTCCCAAGAGTCTTCCTCTGGCTGGGATCACAATCTTCATCTTCTTTTTTGCTTCCCAGCTTTTTTGCTTTCCTGCTGTCTCTTTCCACGTTCTCTCCAGTGACCTGACCCATGGAGTGAAGGCCACATCATAGCATCAGCTAAATATTTATTTTGGCTTTGTTTTTTTAAGGAAAGCTCCGAACCTTACCATTTTGGAAACATGCTGTAGCAATGATGAGAAGAAAAATAACAGCACTAAAAAGAAATCCATCTTTCTAGATCATCTCAAAGCCTTCTTAGTCCTGTAACCTTATGTAGCAATAAAATTAAGGTGATGAGTGCTTTCTCTTAAATTAGTAASTTTATTTGTACAATTCTAGGCAACTCCCAGGCTTAATAGGTTTTTCAGGATGGAAAGGGAGCATTTAAAGTTCAGGAGCATTTGGGGTGAGTAATACCTTTAAATAAAAGTCAGCAAACTTGACTTCAAAGCTGCACTGGGTAATAAGAATTGGTCAACAGCTCTCTGTGCTCTTCTGYTCAGGCCAAGCTCTTACTCTGTGGTGTTGCAAAGCCAATATTTATGTTACAGATGTTATCCGGGAATGTTTTTTGTCTCMTGAAGCTGGATATTTGGAAGGCAAATACCTCCACCACTGTTCTGCTGAGCCCACTTTTTTYCCCTTTCCCACTGGTTTGAACTTTGTTCTGACCAAAGTGGTCTCAAATCAGTTGATGATCAAACTGATCTCTAATGTCTCTGTCCCTTGGAAAGTCACAGGTCCCTGTTCAGCAGACCTGAGTGTGGCACAGCTCTYCATAACAGAGAACAGCTCAGCTTAAAGGTGCCCAGTCCTTCCTGTTGTCTCTCCTGGTAGAAAACGAGATTATCCCAGGATAAAAACAAGAAAATAGATAATTTATGAGTTAAATCACCTGGCTCTTCTCACCTACCTGGCAGAGGGTAAGAGCCAGGAGAAGCAAAGCCACCCCATGGCTGTGCTCCAGGCCTCTTGGATGAGCATGGAAATCCATTCACCCGCCCACACCAGGGAGGATGAGAATTTTTTCTCAAGTTTCAGTTTGCATTTTTTAAGGCACAGCATCAAGATAACCTGCTCCTTTATTTGTCAATGCCTCACATACTCCAGAATCCAGGACAATCCTTTCGTAATAATTCCACTTGCAACAGAAACAAGTCCCACATGTATTTTTCAATCCCAGTATGGAAAGTCCTCATCCCGAGGCTGTTGCTAGGATGAACTATCTGCTTACACAATTCCATGGGCTCATGCCAACTCCATCATGGGCRGGACCAGTAAAATAGAGCATAGAGGGCACACACATAATGTAAACAATGTAAATATTTATGWTGCATTTGTGATGCTCCACATTTCTATCTCAGCTGCGTATCTGCTGCAAGATGGGCTTGTCTGGGAGTCCTGGATGGAAAAGAAGGTGCCTCTYCTGAAAATGGTCTGAGGGATCTTCCACAAATACGCCCTGAATCGTTTCTTCACAAAAGCATAGAGCAAGGGGTTGAGACARCAGTGCACAAAGGATAAGCTCTCTGTGATCTGCAGGGCATAGTCCAGTTTCCTACTGCTTTCACAGCTCCTGATCACACCAGCATCCTGCAGGGAGTGGAGGATGAGGACAACRTTGTAAGGGCACCACAGGACAAAGAAGACCCCCACCAGGGTAAGGACTAAGSAGAGAGCTCTGCTGGAGCCAGGTATCTGTGATGTGCTGAGAACACAGGCGATGCGGGAGTAGCAGAAAGTCATGAAGAGGAAAGGGAAAAGGAATCCCAGGATGTTTTGAATCACCCGAAAGACAACTTTCCAAAATAAGTGTTCCTGGCCATAATCCTGAKTGCACATGATGGTTTTGTTGTGGATTTGCCTTGTGTGGGTGAAGAGGCCATCAGGAATGGAGAGAGCTATGGAAAGGATCCACATCACCAACAAGACAAGGATGGTATTYCTCCATACCGTGGAGCTGTGAGGAGAACAAGCATGAACGATCTGCAGATACATGTCCAGGCTCATGCAGCTCACAAAGAAGATGCCACTGTAGAAGTTCAGAGTGTACATGGCATTTAGGACCGGGCACAAGATGTCCCAGGTGACCCACTGAGAAATGTACAGAGCCCAGAAAGGAAGGGTCAGTAGCAGGAAGAAGTCAGAAACCACCAGGTTCAGCAGATACAGCTCAGTCATCTTCTTTTTTTTCTTGATGTACATGAGGAGGACAGTAAATAGGAGGCCATTCCCAGCCATGCCGACCAGGAAAATCACAGTGTAAAATGATGGCAGGAACACCCTGCTGAAGGAGAGCACCTCCTCTTTGGTRCAGAGGCCAAAGTGCCCATAATCCTCCTCATCCAGGTATTCGTACGGGTACTCACTTGAATTGGYAGCATCCAGCCATGTGTCTGTGGATGTTGCTGTCACCCTTGAGGTYGTGTTTGACCAGTGACTGCCTAGAAGCAAGAGAAAGGGATCAAAGTGTTGTTCCAATGCACAGAGGAAACAAGCATCACATCACATTTCTTTTGTTTACGGAATACCAGAATAGTTTGTTTTGGAAGGGACCTCAAAGATCATCTTGTTCCAACCCCCTGCCATGGGGGGTCCACTATCCCAGGTTGCTCCAAGCTCTGTCCAACCTGGCCTTGGGCACTTCCAGGGACAGGTCAGTTTCTCTGGGCACCCTGTGCCAGGGCCTCACAGCAAAGAACTTCCTCCTAATATTTAATCCAAACCTATCCTCTTTCAGCTTAAAGCCATTCCCCCTTGTCCTGTCACACCACGCTCTTGTACAAAGCCCCTCTTTGTCTTTCTTGTAGGCTCCCTTCAGGTACTGGAATTTCACAGGTTTAAATTTCTGCCACTTTCGGGATGAGTATCTTATGTCCTGAACCCTTTGGCCTCTGCTTAAATATAGGGACAGCTGTCTATACATACATATTGAAAAACCAAATCAAAACCCCAAATTAATCCTGCTTTTCTTACACTGACACATAAAACTTGAAAATGTTTTTGTCATGAGTATGGCTTCCTCTCATAAGTCACTACTTCCTCCTGACACCACCACAAGCTTTTAGTGAAATTTCTGCTCCTAATTACGGGAAATCCACCACCATATCTCACTGTGAGCTGCTTATATTCACCTGGGTCACTTCTGAGAAAGTGGCATCTCAATTCTTGGTGAAGCAGAACCTGCCACCAGCACCTGTATGTCAGTGGGGCTGTTCCCAGAAAGGAAATGCTGAACATCTCCCTGCTTCTGGTAAAACACTGACCCCCTCTCTATGCCAGCGACAGGATGCCAAGACACAGATTTTTGTWAAAGRCWTAAGTAAATGGRAAAYAGAGAATKAATAGAATYCCAGAATGGTTTGTTTTGGAAGGAACCTCAAAGACYRTCTTGTTCCAACCCTCCTGMCATGGGCAGGGACACCTTCCACTAGACCAGGCTGCTCAAAGACTMATCCAAGCTGAGGATCTGTAAGTACCAGAATCCAGTCCTGAATTATGGTTACCAGGAGAGAATTAGCTGGAAGAACTTTATTGGAATAAATTCTGCATGAGACAAGGAATGAGACAACTCCTGCAGTGGTCACTCCCTGRAACTGTGGGCGTGAATGTTTAGACAGCTGCAGCCCAGATTTCAGGAAATGGTGAGTTGGGATCCTCCTACTTTTGGAATCTGATTTTCAGGAAAAAAGCTGTCCCTGAGGAGCCCATTTCACACAGTGGGAGATAGGATCTGCCTGGTGCCATTGGCATCATGAAGGTTAATGRGGAGTTTAAAAATCAAGGTTAATCTTTAGGCTCTGACAGTGAAACAAAAAACAGTTTTGCAAAAAATTGTGTAAATATCTCTCCACCCCTAAACCACCCATTTTTTCAGCTGTGGCCAAAGCTGCCCATCTTTTCCCTGGGGCCCATTTTCCAGCAAGCCCAAACAAGCCTGGCTGTGTCTCTCCTCGAGGTTCTGTTTCTTCCTACAGAGATCTGCAGCCACTCAGAAATGAGAATGTGAAGCTGTTGGTCCCTGGTTGTGCTGTGCATCTCAAGAAGGGCACATTCCCATTGTGGCTCTGCAACCTTTACGGATAGCTCCCTCCCCGCAAGCACCCAGGAAAACGAAGCCCCTCCATCCCACAGGGGTTAAGGAAAGCACCCCAGACTCAGAGTGGGGTGCTGAGATGCCTGCGGGTGTGCAGCTGGAAGGGGTGAAGCTCTGGACATACCCRCTGTGATCCCATGACTAAAATTGCTTAAATATCCATTCCAGGCAGTTCCAGGCAGCTGAAAGGGAAAGAAAAATGGATTTGAGCCGGACTGAAATGTTTTCGTGCTGTCTCACAGTTCTTTGGCAAGTCCTGCAGGGYACTTCAGACAGAGCAGTGGGAGAGCAGGGATCTGCCATGGGAAAGTGTCACAAAAAGACTTCTCTAGAAATTAAGTTTTCTTAATTTCCTTTCTGTATCATATTGTGGAGGAAATTCACCCTCAGCTGTGACTTCGATATGAAACCAAAGCTGCCCACCCTGCTGATCACAGCACCCAATGAGACTCCTGAACACCTTCCCCTCACACTCCCTGCACCCACATCAGGACAAGCCATCCCCAAAATTTGCATTTCTGGGTCTCTTCCAGCTCACTGAGATACCTTTAATCCCTCTGCCACATCTTTCTCCCTCCACATCAGCCCAGCACTGGCATCCACATCCCTATCCCATAGCTCAGAGTGCATGAGAGGACTGAGCTCAGAAATGAAGCCCAATCCCAAACTGGCTACCTTTCAAAAACAAGAGAGAACTTTGCCAGGTTTCTTGTGCAGCTGCATGTACAAGCAAGAAGCATAAAAGGCACTTACAGGAGCTGCTTCTTCTGTTTCCATTCTGCCAGAGGCTCAAATCAGGCTTTTAGGAACTTCTTTCACTTGTGTAAGTGCATAGGCAGGAAATGTGGTATCACTATAACCTCCCTGGTTTTGTTTTGCTTTTCCTGGTGTTTCTCATCGCTGACAGCATTGGAGGAATTACCTCCACCCCTCTGTCCAAGCACACACTCCTCTACAGCACCTTTAAATTGTTGCCAGCACCCAGAGCCAGAATTTGCCACTTCAGGACTTCAGTGCCCTTTGCCAYGAGTACCACAGGGATCCAGCACCACTCCTAAAGGAGCACATTATACTCTGGAGAGCAGAAATCAGGCACCAAACCGGGGACAGCCAGAGCCACTGGGACCAGCAACACCCTGCACGCACTGGCTGGGTGGGAACACCCACAAAATAGCTTGAATTAGGTTATTCTGGGATGTGTCAGACAAGCACACAGAGCAGTCACTCACCTAAAGATAACCAGTTTCTTTCACCCCTCTCTCCATTTTTCCATGCAAGCTTTCCCCGGTCCACCTTGATCCTTCTCTTTTCTCCACTCCGTCTCCTCCCWGAGCAATCTCTCCCTTGTTTCTTTTTCACTTTTGTTTCTGGGTTTGCTGTATCCCAGTCCCAGATCTGGCAACAAGGTCCCTCTTGTTGCTTGCTTTCTACAGGCTTTAATTAATGGAAACATCTGGCATTGCCGAACAGAAGGATATTAAGGATTGGATTTGCCTGGATTCTKCACTGAGAGGCTTCCAGAGCTGAGACCCTGCTGTAAAAATCTGAGTGTTTTCCAGGGAATCTGAACAATCCATGTGCCATCTGGGTGCTGGAGGATCCTCATCCCCTGCAAGARCAGAAATGGCCTCTGTCAAAGGTGTTTCTGAGGAAGTGGTTTGTTGGAGGAGTTTTCGGCATCACCAGTGGTGAGTGGTCACATTCCTGCTTGTTTCCTCACCTCACCAATAAACAGGGCCTTGGGAACACCCTGGCTGTGCCAAGGCTTTCCCTGTGCCACTCCTGGGGTGTTTCAAACACCCCAAACCACCCTGGTAAAAACAGGAGAGCAGAGCAGGAGCGATGGCCACAGCTCCATATCCAACCTGCCCTGGGGTAGGTGGATTCACAGAAAGAAATTTACGTTTATTTTACCCATTTCCATGTTTGCCACCATCAGCTGCTCCTGCTGCATTTAAAATACACCCTAAAAGAAATATATATATGCAAGACACACATTAGCAGAAAGCAAGAAGCCACTTGTAGAGCTGAGACACCGGACACATACACGGGAAAGCTGCAGGTGACAGAGGTTTCATTAGGCCRGCAATTAAAATGAAATAAGTTTTTGTTTTTAATTGAGTTTCTGCCCTGAAGCAGGGAATTAAATGTGCCTCTGAGAGTCACTGGAGAAAGTGGCCTTCACTGTAATTTATTACAAGATTTTAACTCAATTTGGGAGCTGGTAATTGCATAGATTTTTTTTGTTTCCTTTCAGACTGCAGAGCCCTAATGGCTTTGGCAATTATGGTAACCAGATTAGGGGTAATGGGAAGCACATTTAGACAGATGCAGCGCTTGTCTGAGCCACTTTATTTTGCATCACCCAAAATGCTGTGTTTTGGTGGCAGTGACACTGCAGGAGCAGCAGCTCTGCCTTCTCCCAGCTCGAAGATGGGGAGGCACAAAAACCGCACAGGAGCACTGGGCTTAGAGACAAAAGGATTWATCTTTGCTGTTTTGCTCTGATGAGCAGCTCTCAGGTTTAGGAGAAGGTTTTAAGCATYTTTGGGATCTCAGTGGATTTTTCTTCCTCCTCCAAAGTACATTTTAAGTCAGGAACAATTTCTAGGTTGTCTTTGGGCACCAAAATTCTGGCACATGGCGGGGGTAAAGTGCGCTCTGCATGAAAGCTGAAATTTGGGAAATCATAGTCTGTGATGTACGGAAAATGCTAGGAAAAGCCAGTGTCCATAAAGGAGACAGAGGAGTCCTGTGACTTTATTCGAATAAAGGCAGAGAGCCCAYTGGGGCACTCACCAGCAGGGTTTTCTCTTTCAAGGTTTTGGAAAGTGCAGCCTCCTTTTATCCCAAACTCCCGGCCGCACRGTGCCTTCTTCCTTTCCCTATTGCTGAGGTACCAGGAAGGTACAGCCTTCCCAAGTCACCACCACATATTCCCCCTTGAACCTGTCCTTTTCCCCCAAAGTTCAGAAACTTGGGCTTGTGCGACCCCATTTGTCTGGTTCAGGAGCTGAACTGTCTGAGTTCTGTCACAAATTTGCGCCTTGAAGTGGGGAGAGACATTAAGAGCCATTTCAAAGCTGTTCACAGCCATCCCCTCACCCATGGAATTGTTTATAGCGACATTGGCACGCAGCTTCCCTATCAAGGTCTCTTCCAACCCAACATCATTCTATGATGCTGTGACACCAGGTGGAAGCCCTTCAGCAAAGGATAAAGTCAGAGCCCAACTTTCACAAAATTCCCAAATGGTTTGGGTTGGAAGSGACCTTAAAGACCATCCCATCTGATAGGGAAGCTGTGTGCCCATGTCTTTGCAAATAATTCCRTGGGTGAGGGGATGGCTGTGAATGGCTTTGAAATGGCTCTTCATGTCTCTGTTAACTTCAAACCACATTTTTGTTGCAGAGCTCAGACAGTTCAGCTCCTGAACCAGACAAATGGTGTCGCACAAGATCGAGTTTCTGAACTTTGTTACTTTGTTACTTTGGGGGTAAATGACATGTTTAAGGGGGAATATGTGATGGGTGACTCTGGAAGGCCATACCTTCCTGGTACCTCAGCAATGGGGAAAGGAAGAGGGCAACGTGCGACTGGGAGTTYGGGATAAACGGAGGCTGCACCTTCCAAAACCTCGAGAGAGAAATCGCATGGGGGAGATAATATCCCAGTGGACTCTCTTCGAATAAAGTTGCAGGAGTCCTCTGTCTTCTTTATGGACACTGGCTTTTCCCAGCAGGATTTTCCACACACATCCCACCCCGTGCACTGGCAGGGACACTTCCACTGTCCCAGGCTGCTCCAAGCCCTGTCCRACCTGGCCCTGGACACTTCCAGGGATCCAGGGGCAGCCACAGCTTCTCTGGGCACCCTGTGCCAGGGCCTCACCAGCCCGACAAGGAACAATTTCTTCCCAATATCTAAGCTAAGCCCTCCACTTCTCATTTAAAAATCCTCAGCCTTGTCCTGACACTCCATGGTTCTGCCCACTCTCTCTCTCTCTCCACATCATAGTGTGACAACATGAGAAGTTTTTGAAGCGAAAAGCAGACAAGCAGCACAAGCCACCAGTGGCTGTTTTTCCACGCTGCAGCCGATGGCAAACATCGATTTTGTGGCTAAGGCAGGCTCCGGCCGCCGCTCTGCTCTCGGTACCGCCAGCGCGCGGGGCCCGTGAGGGAGGGCAGGGCTCCAGAGCGCCCCCTGCCGCCCGCCCTGCGCCACCACCGCCCCGCCGCAATGCGGAGCGCCGCGCGATGACGTCACCTCCCGCCCCGCCCCCGCTCCCGTATAAGGAAGCGGTGTCCGTGGCCGCGCTTTGGATTGGCTGTCGATTGGCGCGCGGGCGCGCGGCACGCTGGGAGTTGTGGTCCTGGCGGAGGGGCGGGGCGGAAGCTGCCAATAAGAGGCGGGGGCGGGACCGAGAGCGGCAGACGCCGGCCGGTGTGGGATCAGYGCGGTGAGAGCCGGGCCTGGGGCGGGCGGGACTCGCGGCACAGCCGGGGACACATCCRCAGTTCTGGAGGGGGGTGACGGTGCCTGGGGCTGGAGCGGGGACGGCTTCCCATGTGGGGTGAAGTGCCTGGGRCTGGAGTGGGGCAGAGGCCCCATGTGGGGTGCGGGGACCCATGGCTGGAGTCGGGCAGAAGGCCCGGAATAGGGCAGAAGGCCCGGAGTGCAGTGAAGGTGCTTGGGGCTGGCGTGAGGAAGGATCCCCATGTGAAGCTAGGCAGCCTGGGGGTACCCAACGCTTCCCCCTTGCCGGGAGGGATGCTGAGACCTGTCACTTTGCCACCCATAGTCCTCCCTCAGTGTCCCCTGTGGGTGACACCTCTCACACAAGTGTCTTAATCTCCCTGTTCAGTGTCAGTAACGTCAGGGCAGTTGGGCCGTGTATTTCACCCAGTTTCGTCTGCCCTGTGCCCATCTGGGTCTGAGCTGAAGGTCACAGAAACTTCTCGTGGTTGGATGAATTGTTTCACTTTTAATATAATTTTCTTATATAAATCTCACCTTTGGCTGTCTCCTCCTCTCTGACTGACAGGGAGCTCCTGTTTCTTTCTCTGAATGAGTCAGACTCAAATTATAATTTACATTAGCAGATAGGGGTGGTTGTTGTAGGCYCAGAGAGACCAAATCCTTTGGCCTTGCAGCGGAAATGGTTTGTGCTTTCAGCTTAAAACCAGTCAGTCTGCTCACATGGGTGTGCATGAAATGCTGCGTAACCAGGGAGCACAGCCACCTGTGAGAAGTCTCTTGCCTATGGTTACTGACCCCTGCTTAATGGAATTCCTCTTGATTTATTCTGAGCTTGGAGTTTTTCCATGTGTCCTCGAGCTGTGTTTTGTAATTGGTGGCAAAACTGAACAATAACAGTAGAGATTTTTCTAGCAGGGGCCTTCTGTGGTGTCGCTGGCAGAAATTGTCAATAACTGAGTGATGCTTATGCTGAGCATTTAGGAAGGAACAGGTCGTGGTGTAATCCGGGTCATTCCCAGCAAAAAAAGCTGGGAAGTGTTGGAGGTTGGTCTCACTGGTTTGGTGATGATGGTTCTGGGAGTGGAGCCCTTCTGCTGCTCTCTATTTTCCTGTGCATGATTTCTCCTCCTGATGTTCCCACATGAGTCTGCCCCTATTGAGGGCTTCAGGATTTGCTCCAGCTCCTCAGCGTGGGCATTTTTCCATCCCTGTGTTCTCCCTCAGGAATTTGGAATTATATTGAGGTGGGATAGRCTGTAGTGACTGAGGATCTGCCAGGCAGGGCTGACCTTGTGCAGTGGCTCGTGCCTCCCAGCCACAATGCTGTGGCTGYGGCTCTTGGCAGGGAACAAGAGGGGAGAAGTGAACTTTGCTGAGGTCAGAGCTGCCATAAAGGAACAGCCTGCAAAAGCTGAGTGGTGAGGCATGGAATTCCTAAAAGGAAAGGGAGGCAGTGACCAAAGCTTTCTGTGGCTGCCTGTGAGYATGGAGGGGTCACTGGGATCTGTAATAGTGTGAAAACAGATGGCAAAAATATATTGCTTCCCTACTTTTGATTTTGTCATGTTCTTACCTCTCCTGGCAAGCAGCAATCCTGTTACCCAAGGCTTCACTTGAATTAAATCATCTGTCCATGGTTCTTGTGTATCTCTATGTATCCAGGTAGTGTCTCACTACCCGGATATTTGTGACTGGTGGATTACACAAGGGATTTCTTTTCTTAAAGATTCCCTTAACCTGGGGTTTTCCAAAACCTGAACGGAGGCTCTTTGTCTTCACAGCCACCATGTCACCYAGCCAGGAATCTGTGTTCCCTGAGTATGAGACAGACACCAGCCAGACGTCGAAGCTGATCAGAAAATTTAAGGAGACGCCGTTTGTGCCCGTCGGTGAGTTTAAAGATGGGGAAGTGTGTTTGCACAATCAATGTGGTGAAYAACGTCACTGGTCACCTTTYTCCTGTGAACAGGARATTACTTAGAAATAACTTCCCCATAATATTTGCCCTACAAGGAAGAGGTAAATTGCTGAGGTCTGTCAAATAAAAAACTCAGAACCTACAAGTATAAGAAAAAAAAGCCAAACCAACAATCCCTAAAAGACTTTTTAGGTGAGGTTARCAAACATGTTTGGGTGATCCTGTCAGGTGGTTAAAGAATGCGTTGTGCAGCTGTTCTGGAACACAGTTCCTGGGAATTATGTGACCACTACAAAATGGCTTAAAAACTGTCAAAATACAAATGAAAATGATTTAAACTACAGCCTGTTTGGTTAATGTTTCACCTGTCTGCTGGCATCACTAGATTTAAAAGGCATTTTTTAATAGTTTTTATGTTACCCCAGCTTGAGGAAGTTGTTAGAGTTCTCACCTCTCTGCTGAGACCCCCAAAAAGCTCTGAGGAGRGAGCGGGGATCAGCTTTTGTGTGACATGAGACACGTTTTGATTTGCAGCCACCTTAAATGGAGAGCAGCGGGGTCAGTCAGGGTGAGCTGTTCCAAGTGTTTGCCAGCACATTTCCGTCACTGGTTCCGTGGTCACAGGACTTTGTCTCCACCTTGCTCAGAGTCCTGTGAACTCTGTGAGTTCCAGTTCCCCAAAGCAGATTGGCAGAATTCACTTTTGACCTGTGTCAGAGCTGGGTTGAAGGCCCTAAAATTCTTAATTGSTATTTAATGAAGGTGCCACGTGAATTAAGTGTTTACAGCTTCCTGCTGGCACTGGTAATGCTCTGGCTCAGGGAGACAAACTGCCTGTGTTCTGGTCATTAAAATACACACAGCACTTAAAACTTGGCAGCCACCTTTGAACTGTGTAAATAATCCTAAAAATGGAGTGAAATGGATTGAATTGGAAAAGTTTGTGCATTGCTGCTGTGCATTCTGTGAGAGCATCATTGTATAGTAGCTGGTAAAGCTGAGGCTCTTTGCTCCACTGAAGGACTATCAGTGAATTCTGGCCCTGGGAAAGAGACCTGGTGGAGCTTCCCTCAATAACATATGACTTGTCCGGTCCTCGTGGCACTTGCCAAATGTGACCACACCCAAACCAGCAACAGCAGCAGGCCAGTGGTTATGTTAGGGAGCATCCACACACTGAGAGTCTGAGCAGCAGCCAAGAGGGGGTCGTGAGTGTGTCCATCCAGGAAAGGGGTGCCCAGGTTCTGTCTGAAATCTATCTGTCAGTCACCTTAAGCTTCTCCTTTGGTATTTTAATGCTGGTAGGAATCTCTGGCTCTTCCTTGCACTGACCTGTGCATTGAATGAGGTGACTTGAGTGAAACCAGGAGATGGGCCAGGATTTACCACTACACAAAACCAGAGGGATTAGACCAGAACATTCTTGTTTCAGGATGAGAGAGAATGGCCTCAAGTTGTGCCAGGGGAGGTTTTGATTGGATATTAGGAAAAATTTCTTCAAGGAAAGTCTATCCAGTCATGGCAGAAGCTGTCCAGGGCAGTGGTGGAATCACCATCCCYRGTGRGATTGAAAAACTGTAGAGATGTGACACTTGGGGACATGGTTTAGTGGCAGCATTGGCACTTGTGGGGGAATGGTTGGACTCAATGATCTTAAGGGTCTTTTCCAACCTAAACAGTTCAGTGATTCCCAGGCTATTTCATTTAGGTGGGTCCCTGCACACATCCTGATGCCCTGGATCTCCACTCAGAAGGATGCTCTCCTTGCCTTGCAGGGATGGCTGGCTTTGCTGCTGTGGTTGCCTACGGGCTCTACAAGCTGAAGCACAGAGGTGACATGAAAATGTCCCTTCACCTGATCCACATGCGAGTGGCAGCCCAGGGCTTCGTTGTGGGAGCCCTTACSTGTGGTATGTATGGAATGGGATCTGTCCTTAGGGGTGGCAAACTCTGGAGAGCCTCTTGCATCTCTCCCAGTGGATAATGTAGTGTACATGGCATAGCCTCGGRGTGGAAGTATCCAGAACATTTATTTCAGGATGTCTGTGCTCCTWACTGGTGCTTGATCAGCCTTTCTGGAGTAATCTGATTTTATGTACTTAAGYATTTAATTTCAGAATAGCAGTTTTGATTATGTCTAGACATGGAATGTGAGGTTCTGCATCCCTGCATCTTAGAGGCAGAAAATAGAAAGCATTCATCTGACATTAATATTTCCTCTTGTAAATGTCCTGCTGTTTCTGAATTTAATGCATTGGAAGGTCTACAGCTTTTGTAGACCATGGTATTATATGTATTTATTTTTATATATATATATATATATATATATATATGTTGTATATATGTATTTTGAGGACTGGAATTGAGTCTCTGAATGTCCAGGGAAACTGTTGCACTGATCTGTACATCCCAGATCTCATGTAGGTATTGCAGCTGTGTATGTGTGTAATGTACATCCCATGAAACACTGTTTGTCCATACTGCATTCCCAGCAGGAACAAAAGAAAAGCTTGGTCTTGGCCACAAAATAAACTACAATTAGCTCAGGATCTGCATTCTTGATAGATGGTATATTTCCACACCTAGTTTCTTGGTATATGAAGAATTTTGTAGTGTTCATCACTGCTATTAAAAAAATTACAGCTGAAGAAGAAGGGAGACATTATTTCTCTTGCTGGGAATCTCTCTTACTGTTCAGATTTTTAAACCCATTTTTTTCTTATTTAACACAATTCTTTAGTTGTGCTTTTATTTCTGTCTTTCAGGCGTGCTGTATTCCATGTACAAGGAGTACATAGTGAAGCCCAAGGAATAGTGGGAAGCTGTGTGAAATCCCTGTCCTGGTGGTGGCCTGTGTACTGCAGCTCCAAACGTCCTATAGAGGGGTTCTTCAGGAAAAAAAATACATGGCATTAGAGAATTGTCCTATTTTGTGTATGGTACACTGTGCTGAACCTGGCAGCCTCAGAATGTGCACTGGGGGAGTGGGTATTGGGGTCTGCTTCTCTCTGATTGATGCCACCACATCCCAGTTTTTAGGGAGTCTAGTGGAGTGCAATCCCTTTATCTTCTTCAACTCAGTCCTAAAACCGGTGACTTCTTTTGCTGTGTGTCCCAAAACCACGATGTCTGAACTGGCTTCTGTTATCTATCCTCTGCCTCCAACTTTGTAATTTAGAAGCTTCCAGTAGCACTAAATGACTTCTAAAATATTGAGAGCTATATAAACATTATTTTCTTTTTATTTAAGGCATGAAATAAGTATGTTGTAGCTATTTAAATGTTATATTTATTCATTGTTAACGAAGACACAAGCTTCCTATTTTTGCTATATCAGACTCTTGGATTATAATATTTTGTAACTTTATTTACGGTGTTCTTCAGAGTAACATTTAAATGTAACATTTAAAATACATATTGTTGAAACGAAACCTTAATTTGGCGTTTTAATGTTTTTAAAGTGTATGAYCTAGCTGATTTCTGCAGTATTGTTCCCCATAGAAAATTTTAAAACATTTAAGTCCGAAAAGCCCCCCATCACCTTTGAGGTATTAAAACCTTTCTCTGTGAGTTATTTTATGTTTAAACCCCATGTACCTCTAACGGCAGTCATGAAAATAAAAGGCAATTTGTAAAAAAGCTGACATTCCATGGTGRCAGTGTCGGATGTTACAGATAGCACAAGGTACAAACTGCACCTGGCTGTGACCTGTGGTACACGACAGGGGGTGATTAAATACGAATAAAAGCGAGCAGTGGAGGTAACAACTGTTTGCCTATGGATTTGTTGGGGAGTACTCCCATCCCATTGCAGAGGGATGGCGGGAGCTGCTGTAGCTGAATAAAAATCACCTGAGGAGGGTGCAGCGCTCCTGCAAAGGGAATTCCCAGCCGCTGCTCTCCTCTATTCCCAGCCAGCATCACCCCGCTGTCCTTGGCTGTTCCCCCACGGATGGACATGGGGAGGGGCGCCCACGCCTTCTCCCGCTCCTCCCACCGCGGAGCGGGCAGAGGGAGCGGCTCCCTGTCCTGTGGGGCCGGCATTGGTGCGGGCATTGCGGGAACGGCGATCCGGGGATGGCGGGGACGGGAGGAGGAGGGGGAGCCATGATGGCGGCTGCGCTGAGGGGCCGGGCGCGCGCTGCCGTTGCCATGGGCACCGCGTCGGGCCGGGAGCGGGGCTGCACGGGGAACCGGGGCCGCTCCTCCGGCCCGCCGCTGCCCAGGAGGGAACGGGGACAGCCGGGGCCGCACCTCCGGC